CTGGGATTCTGATTATTGAACAGCCGCAAAAACTAGTGAGACCGTAGAAAAGCTCGTCCACTGGGATTCTGATTATTGAACAGCCGCAAAAACTAGTGAGACCGTAGGAAGTTTTGCAAATTAATATTAATAATTTTCCATAGCACAGAAATGATTTTTTTCTTTTTAAATGGAAAGTATTAAGCCCCGTTATCCAAACATTAAATATCGAAGAACGTGTACGTTATTGTATGGACGCCACCACAATGCATGCATGTTGCTTGTAACTGACAAGCGATAACTGGTTTACATTCCCGGCGTCCGAGCGTCCGACCCACGAACAACAAATCGAGCTGTTCATGAATATTCGAGAACAAGCCGCCGAACTTAGCCTATGAGCCCCAAGTGGGACTAAAGAGAGGGCGCAACTTTCCCTAGCAACGGGGGCTCCTTTGGTAGGGCCTGCACGTCGCTTGTTCTCTTCACCAGCACGGCTCTTTCAACCGATGAGGGGGTGCTTCTGCTCAAGGCGGGTAAGCGGTCTTAGCTATAGGAGTGTGAATCATGATGTCATGGACTGACACGCGTGATTATGCACGTTTTCGACGCGCCTTCGATTCCTCCCGTGGGGCGCTACTTTTACTGCAAAAATTCAGTCTGAGTGGGTTATCGCCTTGAGCGTAAAGGCAAAAAACGGCGCCACATACCACCTCCTTCAACGCTTTCAGTCACCGTGAGCTCTAAACTTCCCTGTAAATTGGCCCACTTTCGCTGCTGTAAATGTACTACAGTGCCGCCAACAAAAATGTCATCTCAGCAGCAATGTGCCCAAATGCATTTTTTCAATACCCAAATGTCTGGGCACACAAACTGTAGTTTCCAATGGGAAAATAATTATCTTCTTACCAGTCTTGGGAGGAGACTAGTCTTCAAGCCTTATTGCCTGTTGCAACATCGGACTTCCCTTAGAGAGAAATCCTCCTTAGCCACGATTACAGCCCTTATTTAAGTTTTGTTTCCCCGCGAACTGTTATAAAATGCCTGCATACCTCTCTCAGCTGTGCTTCCAGCCTTTCTCGTTCCAGCTGCTCTTTGACCAGCTGGAGCTCGGGCGCAATCCTCATTCGGTCCACGGTGAGCGCCCGATTCCGCATCAGAGTCAAAGCCACGAACCACTTGTTGCGAGGCCACAGTTTCTTCCGGGGACGACCGGAGCTGGTTACCTGACTCAACTCATTGTTGTCCCACACGCCTGCAGAGCAAGAGACGGAGAATTGAAGGACTCCCATTCCATACCATTCCCTGGGTTTGGCATCTGTGTCTTTAAGCTTCAGGTGCATTCTTGTCGATCATTATCCATGTTACTAACGTTTATTTATTGCAAAAATGGAAAGGTAAATTACGTAGACCTGCCAACCTCCCATGAGGTTGATCTTGGAATTCAAGTTCTCATTTAGCCATATTAATTAAATTTGGACCTGTTTGGTTTCTCGGTTTGGTTAGTTTGTTTCTCTAAGCTTGCCAGAACACTACAGCCGCTTAAGGCCTGGGAAATCATACGACGATGGCACGCCGTACGAAGTGCAATATAGCAGTCACCTATTGCCTAGGTAAATTTAAAGCAACTGTTCTCCAACCGAAGAACAGAGGACCGAACAATAGGGAAAATTTGCCAAATGCAAATCCTGCTACAGCATACGAGTCTTTAAATTTCTTTACATTAGATTTTACAGGTAATCACCCCCTGGGGGAAATCCATACACGTGTACAAAACAATTAATTTTGATTGGAACAAACCCGTTTTCTTTCCGGGCTTCCGTTTCCAGAAAACAAGCGGCAACTTCTTCTCCCTCGTGTCTTTGCCGACGGACTTCCACAGGAAATGACAAAATGTAATAAGAACTGGGTGGGTGTGGGCCACCTCCAGCTGCAGAAAGCCCAAGTAGGCCTTGAAACCTGAAGGTGAAAAGGTGAAAGGTCAAGTATAGGTCAGCGAGGGATTTATGAATTTACGGGCTACAACCGACCCCTATTTGCCTCGGTCCTTCCAAATGATAGGCCCTACAGACTGACGAATAGTCTGGCCTGATGAACGAGATGTGATTGTAAATTGATGTGATTGATCATTGGAACGATCATGGAAAACACCATAAATGTATTGCGAGAATTCCTACATTTTATGTGTGATTTGGCGACAAAACTGATGTCGTTTTGGTGGTTTGGGTCGCGACAGGATTGACTGGGGCTACTTATAACTGTTGCCCTCAGCCACATTTCGTCTCATGTAGAACTTTCTTAGATACTAAGCAAAATAAGTATGCTATCAGCCTTGAGCGGAGGCACTCCCCATCGGCTGAAAAGAGCCATACTTGGTCAGCCAGGGGTGTTCATTTTGTGGGTAGCGATGCGACCGTAACGCGTGCATTTCCTAGAGTCGATCGTGAATCAGCGAAGTTCAGTGCCGACCAAAGGAGCCTCTGTTGCTAAGAAAATTGCGCTCTCTCTCTTGGTCCAGCTCGAGGCTCATAATAAAGCAACATGAATGCTGTGAGATTTATACCATTACAGAAACATATGTCTGGTCTTACCAGGGTCCCATAGCTCCCAGCCCCTCATCAAGGTGCACTTATCAATTCTGCCAATGAAGAGGACACCGAAGAAGACCGCTTTGATGATTCGCATGAGGCAGGACACCAGCCCCACGATGACATTCAGAAAAAGGGTGATGTACACCGTCAAATGAAACAGCCGTCTGATGGAAGCAAGTGGACAGAGCGGGAAAAAAGTACAAGGAATTAGCAGGATTTAGTATTGACAAAAAAGATACAAGAAACTGAAAATTCTCCTTTTCTTGAAATTTTAATGCCACGCACGAAGGAAAAGTATTTCGACGATTTACTTGGGTACGGCGAAAGTAATAAAAATATTACGACTTAACCACAACAAACGTAGCATCATCCTCCAGTAAAGCTATTTACGCTGTAAACCGTATTCTTGATACCAAAGCATTTGAAATATATAATTTCAGAATAGACGACACAGATTCCTTTGTACCAAGACCGTACCAGGTTGCCACCAAAATGAACTCCTTCCATTCAAATCGAAATGTATCATTAAGATTGGGTCCAAAATGCGTCCGTTTTGAACTGATTGCTTACAAGGTAGATGGATATACCAAAGGAATATTTTAGCTCACAAAAATTCCTCCTTGAGCAAAACAAAATAATGCAAAGGTCAAAATATAAATACAGAGACCTACAGCACTATCCTTACTGGCAGGTCATACGCGAATTGTTGACGTCACATTGAATAATACTAAAGTAGAAAAGCCAGTTCAAACTTGGCGCAAAAGCGAACACCGTCTCAACCATCTCAACTCAAGCGTCTTTCGCCGCAAAATTAATGTTGTGAGATCGTGAATTCGCTCCGATTTCGCCTGAGGCATGATGAGCCGGCCGTAACACAACTGAATTTCGTCTCGTGACGTAAGCATTCAGGTCGCTTTCACACTGGCTTCCTTAGTAAAACGAGGTAAACGGAGTCTCACAGACACCCCTCTCCTGCCAACCTGTTGTCCAGGCTCAAGTGCACCTTCTCACGCTTTTTCTCCTTTTCTTTCTGTAGAAAGATTATGTGGGCCAGGGCGACCTGGACGTAGTAGAAAAGGAACCCCACGACGAAGGTGAGCCTGGCGGAGGAAAAGACATACAAGCACGGGTGAAATACAATCCAAAGGCAGTGAATTTCTACTAGCAGCAGAAATCTACGGAATTTCACCCACCTGTCCATTCATATTATCAGTGCTTGAAGTTCTCCTTTTAGTGCAGTGTCATCACAGCATTCACAATTTTTGGCTCATACTAATTTTAATTGGGTATGAAGCCAGTCTACGCCCAGTTACACGCTAAGATTGATCAACAACTGCAATATAGCTAGATACACAGTTTTGATATCTTAAGGATTCTGACGATGCTGCTTCAAATAAAAACGAGCATCGACTTTTTTTTATTAGCCACATCCAAGAGCAGAAACACCGCCAATTACAGGAATGGAAATAAATGAACTCAAATAAATGTATTTTAAATTATGACATATAAATGATAAACAAAACCACTAGATAATAAATAACGGATATGTATGTATAAATAGAGAATACACGTAGATAAATGAATGTTATTGATGCTAATGAATCCTTGTCGTTCTGAACAATGACATACGTTCAACATCTCGTCCCTGCGGACGCCTTGGCGGAGCCCTCGTTGTTAGTTTACAAGAAGAATCAATTGAGCCTATGCACACAACCTGTTCAACAAACAGCGTAAACCTTACAAAAGTGTTGCCAAATATCTCGACCAACAATGATCAATATATTAACTTTCTCCACTCAAGTAGGGAATGAAGTGCGGGGTTGAAAATACAGCAAACAAATTTTCCCCTTTATATCAGTCAAGGACAAATTATAAAATCCTCGTTTTAAAAAGCTTTTCCCTCACCAATATCCTTCGAGAAATGACAGGGGCCACGTCAACTCATCACCAACCACTTTCAGTTGATAGATGACGAAATATCCGACGAAAAACATCAGCAGCCAGGAGACAACTTGGTTAATCAAAAAACCTGAAGTTACGACAGCAGAACAAGTAGGACAAAAATCACAACCAATGAGGCGGTAATGGATGACCTTGCTCTCTCTGTGTACAATTAAAAGCGATCCGATGTGTTGACAAGATAAGTGACACTTGAACCCTCCGATGTATTCGGGCCGATGACAATATAGACCTATTCTTCCTATTTTTTGATCAATACGCTGCAGCAACATCCTCCAATATATATGTCTATTATTCAAAAGAAAGTACCACAAGGACCCATGAAATTGTAATTGACTCTGGAAAGAAGTGGACAGGGCAAATCTTTATGACACCATGTGCATGACAAGAGAGTCCTAAAGTGGCACTTGACTTCGTCTTTTCATCTTGTTTGACGGTTCAAATCATCATTCGTTTACGTGTGTGTCTGCCTTTTGATTAAAACTAAAAGGAACATCCAGAAATAGATCAACTGCAGAACATATAAAATTTGTTTGATGTTCACTTGAAACAAAAACGATACCCACCCCATGCGGAAAATGCAACTGTATAACCGGAAAAACGGAGATTCGCCACCTGCAGTGTAAGATTAATAATAAATAAAGAAGATGTAAAGATATGGGACGTGTTTTTAGACATTTTTGGAGGTTCCAGTAAGATTTAGTTGGTTTGTCACAATTTTATACTTGAGAAGAAAACTGCACAACAGAATAAAACAGGGGCAGATGAAATAATGTTGAAAGATTTTCAAATTAGGCGGAAATGTATTTCACAAGTTTCAGTTATTGATCGATGGCAATATTTTTCATGAATAGAAATATACACGATCGGCTGTAACTTGTTACATTGGAAATCTATGCTTGGAGACGTGATTAATTTTTTTTAAGGAGATCAAATCTTTGTACACAGCAAAAGCTTTGACAGTAATATGAATATTTTAATTAAGAAGTTTGGAAATCGGATATTTGCACCAATGTCTGGAATATTAGTAACATCAACCAGACTTTTCAGGGCACGAATGGTGTATGTAATTAACCCTTACCGTTATCTTTGTATGGACACTGTGGTTTCTTAAAATCCGCCGACATAATAATTAAGTATGAAACAATTATTGTATAAATTTAGTCTACGGGACTTACGACAAGGGCAGGTAAACTGAACTTCTCCTTGGGACAAAAATCGCGAACTCCTCTCCATAGCAAGAGCGTGTGCTCCCTACAAATCAGAGAGTACATTAAAGCTATATATCTGGAACATCATTATGCGACCATCGCGTTTCACTTATCATTGGCAATGAACAAAAATAAACCTCAATAGCCAGATTGGAATTATTATCAATATTGTCATTCGTCCGTTTGCACCTGCCGTTTCATTTTTTTAGATTTAAAATCACAATAGCACAGGACCAAAATTCTTTCGTTGGTCCTATGGATATAGGGATATTGAATCAATACAGTAGCTGTGGTGTACCCAAAGGGGTGGGGCTCACCTCCCCCCTCAGAGGCTTAATTTGCTATTAAAAATTCATTTCAGAAAACTATACAATATGTAACCATATCGTAGACTACTGGCTCTGATATAGGGCCCATAGGCGTCATCCCTGGGGCCAAATGGGCCGGGGGGGGGGCTTACGCATCACGAGCTCCATACTTGCGGGATTCTGTTCCAGTCTCTCCTTCTGACAAATCTAGGTGCGCCACCACACTGCAGTTTTGAGGTATGCATGTGCATTAATGTAAAGGAGGTTTATTCAGTATCCAACCCAGCGCTACCCGCGATTCGTCATAAACTTGAAACACTTTTGTCTCAATCTAGATTTCTGAGTTAACCAAGGAACACTACCTGTAACATATTTGAACGTGGATGTTATACAGCACGGCTAACGCGATGGCAAAGTAACATGCGATCCAAAACGTGTCTGAAAAAAAGGAAGAAATTATCCTGGAGTCATGAGACACACAGATCTGGCGTTTTCATGGTAAATTCATAAGATATTTTAAAATGAATTTTGAACGCACTCCGTCTATCTCTTTCATTGATTTTCTCCAAGCTTTGACGTCATAACCATTTTTGCTCCTTCCCATTATATTTTAGGCTGCATACAAACTGTGCAGCATCATGTTCCTCGTTCTCGCGGTTCTGTATATAGCACTGTCAGTTAAGCACCACTTTTTATGAAGTCCCCCTTTACAGCGTTGTCATGTTTCCGAGCAGTAAAATAGCCTGCGACTCCCCAATCAAACGCTGCACCCAAGGCCTTGCTAGACGAGATATTACTCCTTTTGGAAAGCACAAGTCTAATAACTTATGTTGATGTTTGCAATCATATTCCGCGAGTCCCATGGACCTATCTTTTGGAGACATGCGAACAAACCTTCGGCAATATTGAAGAACATTCTGGCCTCAGTCACGTAACTGGTCGCGTTGACGAGGGAAAACGCCTTGTACAGCAAACCATCCTCACTTAGAAGCTGATCTGGAAAGGCCCATAATGCATTGACGAGTGTGATATACAGAAGGCCCACCTGTCAGTGAAAAAGGGGAAGGAAAAGACAAATAATAGGATGAGACTTTGGAAGCCAATGGCTGACTACTGCATACACCTGCTGTCGACAGAGGCGTGTTATTCAATCAAGGCCGAATCCAATTGAATTGGACAAGACCTGAAACTTTACATCTTCACCCCTGGATTTGTTTTAATTTTTGTTTTCCAAAGTGTCATTTAATAAATTAAGATTTCGTCTAAATTTTAGGAATATATGTTTATTTGGGAAAACAGCCAAGGAATTTTGTCCATGGTTTAGAATTAGTCATCGCGGAACAATAAAATTCTACGTAATTTTGTTTTATCGACTCATCATTCTCATCGTAAGCTTTGAAAAGATTTCCAAGATCACGTTGCTTCCGATCTAGCATGGATGACTCGAGAACAAGACGCACGGACAGTAACACGGGCAGTTTAAGGGTCATTCAATTATCGTTTAGTGCATGGGAAATAGTTCAAATTAACCGTTATGGTTTAAACGCTATTTTGGAACCTTCATGGACCAACCAAAATACCAAACACATTTCACCGTCGTCCTTCAATATCTGTCTCGCTCAAATTTTAAAAAGTCAACATAGGGGGCAGTATCCGTCCCGAGTGGGGCCAAGAAAGGGAGCGACACGGCTCTGAGCAAACGGAGATTCTTTTGGTGAGATCGTGGAGGTGTGATTCTACCTCCATGGTGAGATCTGCACTTCGCTAGTTCACAAACGACCATGAAATGCACGCTTTGCGTGTCGCTACCATTAAAATAAACAGTTCCCACGCACCAATACCACAGACTTCACATTAAAAACTGTAGGTAATGTAAAGGCTTCCTTACCACTGTCAATCGATTTCGTTCGTGGAATCAACAGTTAGGATGGTAAAACAATCCAGCCATCGTCTTTGCCAACCGCCACAGTAAAATGGCTGCCGGTGGCTTCAGTCGGTACAAATTAAGGTATTGCAAGTCCATACACAGACTACCAGTCAGCAGCTCTTTGTCCTGCTATTTGTGACTGGTGTTGTGTTGCTCCATCGATGGTCTCCGACCACAATACAAGGTTTAAGGGTACATTTCTAGCTTTGGTGAGTCACTGAAGTTCCTACCTGGTATGTTGTGATGGTAGCTAACACGCTAGTGCAGATGCTGCGCGTTGAATATCGGAAACCTGTGACATCCAACCAATACGGAATGAAAGTCTATAGTCTCAGTGCACGTTCTGTCAAAGAGCATGGTAATGACTATTCGTGCAAAAAATACACGAAGTGAAGCTGAACCATTAATATGGAAGAATCTACTATTCTGAATCCACATTCTTTAACTTAAACTATGCCTCTCTCACAACTATGTCCTGTAAACAAAGGGAAAAAAGTGTCACCCGTACTGATGCTTCAGGGTACGAGGTGATTTCGATTCGGTGTTCAGTGTAACTGTACTCAATCAAAAATCATTATTAACCCTTGCCTGGTTGCACAGCCTTTACTGAATAGAGTGACGTAACAGAAGCAGTTTAAAAATGAATAATCTCAGGGATACAGGGATATGCGGTTCGCTGGTCGGAAAGGGAAAAAAGGCAAGCCCAAGTGTTAAGCCCAACCAGTAGACCTTCCCCGCGGCGCACCCTGATTCACATAACCGTCAATGAGTCTGGTATTTCATTAGTGACTTAGTTTAATCACAAAACACCCAAACCTTTCCAACGCAAACTGTCATAATTATGAAGCAAACTGTAGGACAGAAAGAACCCCCCCCCGCCTTTGTGTTGGTCTTTGTTATACTGGTATCTCAGGAATTCTTTTCAGACATCTAGGGGGATGTGCTAAGTGACATTAGGCTGGAGTGGGTATAGGGATTGGACTTGTTGGTGGGTACCCCTCTGTCCCATTTCGTGCATAGTATAAAATGATACTCGACAACAATTAGATAATGAGAGATGTACGTTCCACGCGTACGCATGCGCCTATATCTTGAACCACTGAAGGAGTTTTAGGTAAGTTTGCAAGCATGTCTGGACTGAAATTAATAAGTCGAATGATGGATCGTTCCTTTGCTTGGCAGCCCTAGTTTTGGTTGTATGCACGGTACTCATTACATGAACAACAAACGAAAGCACACATACCAGGTGCGTGGATCCATATTTTCCTGATGACACGATCCAATAGTCGTTTGCTTTCTCTAAAATGAAACAAAATAAACCAGGCTCAGTTTAATGCCCGTATTTGTCTGAAAATTTGCTTTTAATCTGAATTTTTTCATGTATTTGTTATGAGAATCAACCCTCTGATTTTTGCTGAAAATTGTTACCTCGAAACGAATGACTGAAAGGATTATATTGTAAGGTTTTGTCTGACCCAGTAATTTTCTCTTTCATCTACTAATTTTTATCTTTTTTATCCTTTTTTTTTGTTGGTCTAATAATTTTGTTGTAATTTTCAGGTTAATTTGGTATTTCTTTCAAGAAATGAGAAGTATCGAGGAACTCACTCCTTTTCCGGAGGACTTAAAAGAAATTTCACCCGTTCGTAGTAATGCGTCTTCTTAAAGTAGTCCTCTTCCTCTGCCTGGGCAGTGACATTCTGTAACGGAAAATTAAAGATGTATTCCGCGTTATGTTGAAAACATGGGAAAACAACGGGCTGGAATCTGTCAAATGTGTTCATGCGATTGATCAAAGGGCCAGCCTAAAAGAAGATGGCTCGTGCTTTTGGATGACTACTAACATAACTGTGGACGAATCACAGGAACCGCTGATTCAGTGCGGTGACGTGAGTGAGGGTGAAATTTCCAAGGATGGGGGCAGTAGGGGTGTACACATTGTTTCAGAAGGGCACTGAAAGTCAGTAGGCCTAAGCCTCGAACTGTATACATGTTGCGCTCGTTTCAACACTTCAAAGGGGGAAAGTGGCCCCCGTGTGCCCCTCCACAGTCACTCCACCGATGGTACGTGACGACGATTTGGTTATTCTATATGCAGAGGCTGTGGTTTGGGGGGTCAACCCCCCCCCCCCGCTCTGAAAGCAAAAGGTAAATAATTGTGGTAAAAGTAATTTTAAAAGATGACATCCTGTAAGGTTTCTTATTATCATGTACACCAGTCACTGTACTGAATTAACCAAAGGTCCACCTACCTGGCCGCAACAATCGGGCTGAAAAAACTCTGATGAAAAATTCCTAGATTTCCACCTGTTTTAATCTTCAATTTGAATTAGAAGAGAAAAGAAGGTAGGAGACGTTGGAGCGAAATCAAGGCATCAAGGAGAGACAGAATTCGCCTGTTGACTTTTGTAAGTTTAGAATCCTGCCCCACTGGAAAAGTAAGTGACATAGTGGTGGTGTTGGTGGTGATGACCATGGTGGTGATGGGGGATAATGGTGGTCAAGGGGTGATGGACGACGAAGGCAATGATGACCAGGAACATGGTTAAGATCAGCGGTTGAAGACGACTGATATTATGCTCTGTCTAGGCACTGATATGCATCGTGACTGAATATATGGCAGGACATCTACGTTATGAAGAGGACATTAATGATATATGGTAACAAGTCGACCCACCTTCGGTTTGCAGAGCTTTCTCCGTATTGCCTTTAAAAGTTCAATGGTAAAATCGATGTTCAGAAAGCTGTAGCTTATGTACACGGGCACAGTCAACGCAATCGTCGTATTTTTCGTAAGCTGCTCACAAAAAGGAATCAATTGTAAATTGTCAATCAATCTGTAAATCAGAATTTAGGGTAATTACTGTCGCCTCTGTAAATTAGGAATTTTGTATGGTACCAACAGCATTGCTTTTAAAAATACAACTCTAAAAATTCCAACAAGCATTTGACGCAGTTAGTTTGACAGAATATGTCAAAATAAAAAAATGAAGTCACATGGCAGAAAACTCACTGGCAAAGAATAAATATGGAACTAAAAAAAAGATCTTACCCCTTCACCCTTTTCACAGAAGACAATTATCATGAGATTGTAAGAAAGCCTGCAGAAAAACGAAAAGTGCATTGCTGAAATGAACGTAGAGAAAACCTGATGCTACCAAGAAGGGGAGTGTGGATGAATTCGTCACCATTTTATTGTATGCAATAACAAGGACGCGCCAAAGGTCTACCTTCTAAAATTGGCTGCGATATTGTCACTAGATCACTAGGCAACAGCGATTCTATGGTCTCACCACCACGTGTACCTCAGCGGATCCTATCATGCGTGTTACATGTCCTCCATAGGATTTTGTTTGTTTGTTTGTTGGGTTGTTTGGGTGTTAGTTTGTTTTTGTTTTGTTTTGTATTAGAATGAGAGAAATACGACTGGGATACTATCTCATCCCTCCTGAAGGGCATATCTTGCCCAAAGCCTCAATTTCCAAAGGGACATATGCCTAAGTTTACATAAAACTGTACTTTTGCCTCCCGCCCTTGAAAAATGCCCTTCCCCGGAAATTCGATCCTCTCCTGCATGAGAGCACGTTTACTCCTCTCTGAGCGCAAATATGCTTAACAAAGACCTGAAAGCACTAAACAATACTAAAAAAAAATTACATTGCCTATAGGCCCCTAGCTAGAACAAAAGGGGGCGCAATTTTCCAAGCAACGGCGCCTCCTTTAGTAGTAATTACGCATCGCTGGTTCACGAACGACCATGAAACACAAGCGTTGTAGTTGCATCGCTACTACCAAAATGAACAGTCCGGACCAACATGGATCTGGTCAACCGATGAGGGGGTGATTCTGCTCAGGGTGGATAGTGTAATTCGGCAACAAGAAAATAATGCGGTGGCAAAACGCTCTCGGATAGGAGGTGCGCGTGCGTTAATACTTGTCACTTCAACCAATAGAGTGTCATGATTTGCCAAAGCACGCGTGCCTCAAGCTTAGGGGATACCGAAGTATGAGCGGTGCCAAGGAGGTTACGGCGTCTCCTTGGACTAGTCTAAGTGGTACAACAACGTTACTCGTTCAAATCAACAGGTGAAGTGGAGTTAATGTACCCGGTAAAGGACAAGAAGTAAAGAAAAATAAATGACGTCTTATCCAGGTCTGTGTACTAAAATGCGCATGGCCAGAGAGCAATGCGTTAGTGACGTTCAATGTTTCGGCCATGCGATTCTCCTCTCCGTCAAAGTGACGTTATATAGGTTTGGTTTTTTTCCAAAATCGATGCTTCAATTGTTTTATCAGTCAAAGAATCCTCACCACTATCCTTAAAAAGTTGTTTTCAAAGTGGCAACACTTTCAGTTCCCTGGGGCAACCCACCGCCCCCCCCCACACACTGGATGCACCACTGCATCTTTCTGAATCACAGTTTTATTTTGCTCGGCTCACACAGCCAGCTACAACGATTAATGAGTCCAAATCGCCTCGTGTCATACTTAGATGAGATTTGATGCTTTTCATGGTGGAGGTAGCAAGTAAACTAGATATATCTCTTTCTTTTGAACATGTGGGGTTCTGAAAAGAACCGGTGGTACTCAACGTTTTGGACAGTACGCTCTGTCCGTCGTCAGGACGAAGCAGCTTTTATGGTGATGTAGAGGGCGTTGAGGTGTGAAGGGGATGCTCACTCCGGATCCAACTGAGGTCGTGTCATACTCACCAGATACTGGTGTACATCACACCGATAACATTTCCGATGATGGGGTGCATGGGTCTGATTCTTAGGCACAGCAGGATCGGGAAGAATACCAAAGAGATCAATAAGACATTGGCCAAGCCCACGAATATTCGCACGGTGCCTGGGAATGGAAGCAGAAACAGATGGTTATAGGGCGCACGAGTTCGAAAGTGACTTCGTCATACATGCCGACGCGCCACGATTTGCAGGCTCCCGTTAGACGATCGCTGAGGTTGCGCGTAACTCTATGTGCAATGCATATGCAGTGGGCGTGGTTTAAACTGAAGTGACGTCACACTCACCAACCGGGTAAAGAAATGCGTGCCAAGAGAATATCCAAATATAGTTTCTTGGGTCAAGACCGGGTTTCAGGCTGGAAATAACGCGCACCTAAGTGTAGAGGTCAGTAATGGGGATGCTGCTTGCTAACAGCTGAGGCCATTACCCCCGAGGGTGGATCCAGAGCCATATATGTTGGGGGGGGGCTTTTTTGGGGGGGGGAATTTTGGAACTTTTTCGTGCAAACATTTTATGGACTTTCTAAGAGGTGATACTATAAATTCTAAAACACTTTTAGAGGGAGGGAACTGAAATTAGCTAAAATTCCTCTCTTTCTCTTTTAAACATTGACTCTTGCGTTTGGTTTTTTTTGGGGGAGGGGGATTAATGGACCCATTACCTCCCCCCTGGATCCGCATCCGTTTCCCAATGTCTTGTGAATTATCGCCGGTAGTTTCGCGTTTAATATCCGATACGGCGACCACTCCTTATTATAGATTAGTGTTCAAAGACAATAAGACGCCGAGACTACGCGTGTCGAGAGTAACATGAATGCTTTGTGACTGAATTCTCTGTGTCCCTTTGTTTTCACAAATCAAAATCAGAAGTCCTGACGAGTACTGTTTTCAAGGATGTATAGCACTGCGCACGTAGCTTGACGGATGTGGGCTGGTTACAGGGAACGCCCAGCTCCAGGAGGAGGTAATCCAATTGCGTAAGTACAGGGGAGGGGTGGGGCATGCGCCACCCAGCGGATGCCCATAGTGTCCCCCCCCCATTTGAAGTCGTTCATATATGCAGCTGCAGCTTATTTGGGGTCCCCCTCCACCTTGGAAAATGTGTACACCTCCGGGTGCCCCCTGGGACATTTAGCCCTAGTTAACGCTACTGCTTACCTCGGAGCATGTTGTGGATATGGGAGAGATTGGGTGAAAAGATCCATTTCCCCATGAATAGCTGCAGAACACTGGTTGACATGACGGAGAAGCCACTGGCGAAAGACCAGCGACTGTCGTAAGAGTCCACTAAATTCACTGGGCTAAACAAGTTAAGTTGAAAAAAAAACCGGGCGTGTTAAACGCACGAATGCTATAGTGTTCATTTGTCGTGTAGTAGGCCTAGATGTTCTCCATTCTCATACAAGACGAAAACTCTCGCGAGAACTTTTGTAATACTTGCTTTTCTTTATTAAAGTCAGTGGATTGCTTGTTTTATACGGGAGAGCGGTGTGAACAGATTTCCTTTGGTCTCTGAGAAACTTTCTGTGATAAATTTGTAACCGACTCTCGTCCAAACTACACTTCAATAAGGCTAAAGAATTCGAGGTTTCTACAGAAATAAAATGAAAGAACTCACTATGGAATTCCGGGTCTCTGAAAACAGCAGTTAGGCCAAAGGCTAACCCTTTCTTCCAGCAATGAAACTAGCAAAATAATTGCCACCTGCAAGAAACCAAAGAAAGATATAAGAATGTAAACCTCTTTTATTCATCTGTTGAGAACACAAACGCAGTCTTGTCGCTGTCTTATCACAATCTACCCCCCCACTGTAAACCATTTTTGTGCTTACCGATATTGGAGAAGTTACCCAGACCCAGTAATCGATCCTAATGCTTTCGCTGGCACATCCTGGGTGGGGGGTTGGTACGGGCTCTGTGGCATTCAGCATTTCACTTGGGGGAAAACGAAAGGAGTTTCAAAGTTGTGGTCATTTGTGCAAGTTAGAAAAAGTCAGTGGTGATGGGTGATGACACGATGGGGTTCAATGTTGCGGTTGTGGTTTCGATGACAATGATGAAAGTTGAAATATTTTCTTCCGCCTGACTTTATACTGCAAGTCTCTAGAATGCGCTTTTCAGCCTTTCGCGTAGAGGATTATATAATTATGTCCTCTCACAGCAAAGATAAAAACTGCCTGTCCACTTTTAGCCATTTTGTCACACCTATATATACCACTGGTGCTATCCGAGCCCATTTTTCCGTTGTATCCATGCAGGGTTAAGGAAGGCGTAAATCAGATGTTTTTTCACCAGTTTTGAAGATTTACCTGAAGATGGTTTGTGAAGTCTGTACAAACAAAAACTGCCTGTCCATGATTAAAATTCCCCTTTCCAAATGTATTTTGACTTGCATGTTAACGGGTAGATTTCCCGATCATATCACACACACTATAGGTGGAGAGATGCTTCAGTCTCATTGGGCTTAAAATGTGAAATTTCAATTCTCAATATGCACTGCTATCCACTTGATTTCAAAAAGGAAAGTCATCCTTTGTTATTCATTTAATTCACGTGTCATTTAAATTCAGTAAGTGTATTGAATTTGATTGGAGACATGTGGAGCAAGAGATTGACGAATAAACCTTTTGCGAAGTTAATTTTGAATAGAGTCTAGTTCTTTAAATTCACCTGAACATAACAACTTGAATTCTCCATACTAAAAACACTGTTGCTATGCCTCGTGATTCGGGGCAAGCTTTTGCTTAGTAGAGACGCCTTCCGACAATACACTGTTCTCAATGGATAACAAGGGCACAAAGGAACCAGTCCATTCCATAGATGGTGGTCGCTATGCGAAAGCCATCCCCGAATAACGACGTATACCAACAGTGTCTTCAGTCTGGGGAATTCAAATTGCTACGTTTATGTGCAATCCCATAACTCAGTGCACCAGATTTGATTTATATTTAACTCGCAAAGGGCTTATTAAAGCAGGCAATGTTTTGCGGTCGGACCATGCATTTTCTTCATAGAACTAAGCAAAATTAGCATTTCGTACCTTCAAGAAGTTCAAATCATTTGTTGTTGTTGCATAAAGTCAGTGATTCAGGACATTTATTCATAGCTTTAAATCACACTTTCTTTTCAGCTCAAAAAGAATTAGAAAGGATATTTTTAAACTCGTATTACTGAAAAAATGAAGTTAAAAAAAAATGACACATACAAGAACGACATTTACAATTCAACTTTCACCAAAAACTAGAATTATTTAATCTCAAAAACGAGTGACAACATGAATATCACGGGCTACAACATGAGAAAAAGGGCCGCAATTTACAACGAATTAGAATGCTATAGCCGCGAAAGGAATTTCCGGACAAAATTAAGTACCATTTTATCAAAACAAGAACTAACATTACGTCGTGTCCTTACTGAAACTCAAAGGAATTCTACCACACGGAGGCAGCGTCATGATAGAAAATGATGCTGCAAAACCAAAATGCCAATCTATTAATCTGACACATACAACCAAACTGATACGTAGATAAAACACTCCTCTTCGATTACGGGGCACAGAAGGTTTGAACCTTATCAATTTTTATATTGGATGCTAATCACATATCTCATCTTAAGACGTTTATCTCTCATGCTGACACTTGAAATTGGTGAATATAAAAAATAATTCCTCGATGAAAATTATATCCGAATACGTGTACCTGTTGCTGAAACAGGAAATCGTATTTTTTTTTAGATTTCACGTTTTACTGTGATTATGAAAGAATTCTGGGGTCCGTTATTTGTGAAAAATAATAAAACGTTTGATTTGAATTTCCTCATAAAGCTGATCATTTTGTGTTTATTATATATATTACTTCAGTCACAAAACAAACCACGTTCGAGTCTCTTCTCAGCAGAGTTGACTCGTCGTACTTTCATTGTGGTATAGTCCTTTTGTTGGGTTAAGTGAAAAAATTACATGTTTACTAACACATAAATACATGACAGAAGTGGCTATGCTGGTATTAAAAATGGTGGTGATAATGCTATTAATATGATTATGCTCATGATGGCGATATAAATGCCTCTTGTGCCGAGAGCGCCAAAATGAAATAAGCTGTACAAAATGGCTCCAGACATGCAAACTTTTACTTACTATGATGCTGCATCTGTGTACAGACTACCGGTAGCCATGTTGGCTAGCTCTCCGTCGAGCGTCGTCTCCAGAAAATACGCCCTTTCTCTGATCGTAATCCTGCACTCAGTTGGGATCTACGTGTCGGAGGTGAAATAATTGCCTGTACAGATTCCAGCGTTTTCAATTTACATCAAAGGGGGGGGGGGTTGGTACACGTCATTACTTGTGGTTCACTGCAGATTTCTGTGGGCCTATTTTACGTTTTCTTCGCACTACACAATACATAGGACACGCATTAGCAAATTCCATGCCTTTCTATAACGTGGTTAATGATTAAACAAAAAAACTGACACAATATACGGAAAAGGACATCTTTTGTAAATTGAACTTCGCTCTAGCTATGACATGTCGCTGCCTACACGCATTACGTTGAGGTTACCATAGAAAGGACGAGTACAAAGGCTAAGCCAGAGACCAGACAGGAGAATAGCAGGTACCTGTTGGTAATGGCTTTGGGGAGTACTTACAGAGGCATAACTGGTTCCCCCCCCCCCGCGGATGTTGGTGCCACTGGGTACCCTTCCCCCATTTGAAATCGGTGAATAATCTCCGTTGAGTATAGCTATGCCGCTTATGGTGCCCCTTTTGAAAACTTCACGGTGTGCACCTTCGAGTGGCTCCCGCATATTTAACCTTAGTTACAGCACTGATTACTTGCATTTGAACTGGAGTGTGTATTATGCGAAATGATTACGAAACTAAAACCCATTTTGAGTAGAAATTAACGGTATTATATCATTGGTGTGTCATTGCAGAAACATTTCGTGCATGTGTGCATGAAAGTATGACGATTAATCCCAAGTCACAAGTTTGTTTGTTTGTTTGTTTACCTTTTCAACTGTATTTAAATCTTGGTGAATTGAGAATATTTCTCGGGAACACGTTTCATTGTCAGAGAAGGTGGTTTGCATTATTCTACCAGGCCAACACCTGCCCTGTAAGAAGTACCGGTAACCGGTAATCCGCTTACACCCGTGCTATAGACTCATGACTTTTGAAAATAAAGAATTCAGAAAGCCTTCAAATTGGCAGTAAAAGAAAATTAAGTAATTCAATTGCATAAATCTGTTTATCTATCTGGTGGTAACCTACTCAAAAATGAGTGATAACATGTTACACGGTTGATCCACCCATAAACAATATACGGCGATTGCCAAAATAGGCAGAGAATCTGTGAAGTGTGATCGGCAGCGCTAGACAGTATTCCTCATTTTCTGAAGCAATTGCTACTTTACACATGAATAGCCATTTTGGCGTGCATTATTTTAAATTTTGTACCATTTTATGAAATGTAACAAGCAGCTAGAAAATCTTTAGAGAAATTTAAGAGGTATAGAGTTCTCTACTAAGGTGGTTTTTCGGTACTTGTTTGGTCTCTTTCACTCGCTGCAGATGCTAACACCCGTTGAGATGACGCAAAAATTAGGTTTCCGGAGGAGTGGCTGTCTCTGCATTCGAGTGGTCGTTCTCCGTGAACTGTTCATGAAGAAGTTATTTTCACTGCACCAATGCAGTCCATGAAAAGGTATTAAGCTAGCAAAGGGCCATATGATGTTTCTTTATAAGGAAAAAAAATGTGCTAACGTTCTTCCCTCAAAGGTTTATTGATATAGCTTACTGGGAACTGAAAAGAATACTGTTTCTAAACATTTAATTTACTATGTTTTTTTCCCGACACGTTATTGCCGTAATGTCACTAAAGGAAGACAATGTTCATTTCTTTGGAAGGGAAACCACAATAGGCCTATGTTCTTGGTGTTTTTGTGAGAAAACTTGCTCACTGGCCTGGAAGTAATAAACCAACATGTACTGAGGCAACGCGTCACCAAGGAAAAAATTCATACATCCAAATTTCAAACATTTGACCTACCAAATTTGGTGCTGAAAACATTGAAATATTATAACCTTAACTGACGTCTCACTTTTCCTGATGAATATGCAAGTTTCAAGCACAAAAGTAAATCCAAATGGCTCCAAAATGCCAATGGAAACATAAAAATTCCAAATGAGGTGAAATGGGTTACAAAGGTGCGCATATACACTGTATCAGAACTGCATTAAAATTGCACCGCTGAAATGGCTACGTACTCTCATAACTTGCATTTATGTCTCCTCAATTTCTAGGGGCGGGTCCGGCACACACCCCCTTATAACCAAAATAAATAAGTAAATAAAAATAGAAGAAAACGAGTGAGGGAAAAGAAAAAAGAGGGAGGGGTCGACCCAGCACATAAATGTGACAAAGGCGCACAGAAGGAACAGTTCTGCTTCTGGTTAGGGGCCGTCCATAAAGTACATACGCTTGAAGGGTGAAGGGGAGGAGGCTTGTTGCTGTTGTACACCATGCGTACAGAGAGGGGTTCAAGCCAGCCTTCAATGAATCTCCATCATGATCAATACACTTTCTCATACAAACAATTACCAGAATCAACTTTTCTGCGTCGAAAAAAACATTCTAATCAGTACCCCCACCATTTGTCCTTCCGTGCCAACGCCCATTATTAGTAAACCGCAACATTACTCATGACACACAGCTTCAGCGTCTTCCAGAATTGTAGAATGATGCGTATGCGTACGGGAGGGGGGTGGAGCCACGGGGAGGGGGTTTGAAAATTCGACATTTCATGCGTACGTAGGCCCTACTTACGTGGACAGCCCTAAGCTTGCCCAATTGGTTCTACATGTAATGCGCAAAAGTACTAAACGAACATACACGTACTATATTGCGACCTCTACATGTACAGCTAATAGTCTACTGACTAGGGCAGAATTCGGCTGGCATTATGGCCAGGGTGATTCATATATGTACATGTATGTACCTGCTTTTATAACACTACACATCAGTTTGTCTTTAGTGTTTGTTTTGGTTTCACTGTAGCCTACATCAAGTAAATAATTAGGCAATAATGATTATAGCCGATCTATTGAAAATTCATAAATAATGATTTTTAATTGCAAATCTGGCACATCAACATCTCAATGAATCCCTAAACCTTCTGTCTTCGTCACTTAAACATAATTTATTTTTATTATATTATGAAGCTCATGAAATGAGTTTTTTCCAAACAAAAACAAGAACAAAACAAAACCGACCGAGCAAGACCCATACGTGCAGATCCGCAGGCCTTGAATACGTGTAAACACTTATCTTCTATCTTTCTAATAGTGTCCTGCTGTCAGTAATAAAAATATAGAGGCCAATAAAATCAGAAACGGGATTCTTGTACGCACTCTGCATCTCACTAGTTTCTCTAAAATGAAAGCTTATGAGGTTGATAAAGTACTGATAAAATAATCCTTCACTCATTTTCAGCCCACTGGAGCCATAGCTCTATGTACAGTTTTATCAAGCAGGCCAGCAAAAATGCCAAGCGGAATATATCCATGTAACCGGCGCCTGCACTGCAGTTACATCATTCATTAGATTGTAAATCCACCGCAGGTAGGCTCAACGTACTCGAATTCGTTTAATTTTGCAGACCTTTGCTCTTCTATTGCCCGAAACCACGATTATGCAGCGTGCCTGAAGCAAAACACTTCGGTCCGGCCAAAGGTCACTTTTTGCCGACGTCGTGTCCCATTTATATTGTCACTGTCACACTTCCCGCAGACGGCTCGTGTGCAATTTTTTCAGAGAAATGCATTAGATATTACGGGTAGAAGGTCAAAGTGCACGCGGTTCACTCTAGCGTTTCGTTTCATGTAAGCCAAGGCCCTTGCTATCAACATGCACCATTGTTATATGCATATTCCAATGTTGAAGCAAGCTGTGTTTACAATTCTTGGTTTTCATATTCCCACAGTTTTCACGCTTGGGTGAGCCGGGACAGACTGGCCCGTCTGCAGTGTTCTTCAGTCCATAATTTTATCTGAGCTTGCGTATGATTTCCGGATTGTATTACATGTGTAGGCCCGGACAGTGTGGGCCCTAGGTACACGCGTACATGGCGTTTGCACTTCATAGATCACCGTGACAACACTGCCTAGATCAATTTTGCGTTGAAATTCACTTAAATTGGAGTCCTCTCACGTCAGCCCTGACGAAAGTTTTGCCATGGAGGACTTGTCTAATTTAACCACTGTTGCTTCATTGTCGACAAGGTGGGTTTTATCATTGTATGTCCCTTATGCCGTCATTTGTGAATTTATTTGTGGATTTCTATGTGTATGTAGTGTGAATAATATTACATGTAGTAAAATACGGAACATGCAGGTCGCAGTTCACGAGATTGATGTGATGGTGATGATGTCTTGTGCAGGCACGGATCTGGGGTCATCCGCCCCCCCCCCCACACACACACACCCTCCCCCGACTCTATCCTTGCTATATTTTTCTTTAGGGCTTATTACGTGCTTTCCGTCTAACGGCTAGAGGATCCCCTTAACTCGTAAACCATAAACCACGAATGGGTCTTATATTGCGACAACAGTTAATACCAAAGAAATTTAATGGCTTAATCATCGGTGACAACTAGGGCTGAGACAATTCGAATAATTCACTATTCGAATAGTCGACCTTCAATTTGAGCGAGTAACCGAATATTCGGTCTCACCGACCAGCAGATTTTTGATGAACAAACCGTATACAAAATCAGTTGCAATAACACACACAATTGTACGTTATAATCAATATAATAGCTTCTCACATAGAGTATCCCCAGCCACGATTTAGCACGATTGAAGAGATGAACAAGACTTCTTGCCCTGTTGAAAATTTTTATTCCTTTTAAATTGTTTAATGAATAATTTACTTTTTAAGTTATTGTAAGATTTCTGACGCTCTTCATTTGAATCTATGTGAAACAAGCCTCAGTAGTGCAATTATTCTCATTTAAAACAAAAGGAAATTTCTCCATCCTTTCATGACTTTTCGAATATTCAAATTCGAAAAATAATATTCGAATATTCGACAATCAATCGAATATTTGGTTATTCGGATATTCGGCACAGCCCAGGTGACAACTATGCAGTATTAACCCACCCCCGTACGAACAAAAAATTCACAACCCCCCAACAAAAAAAAAACAACAACAACAACAACAAAAAACAAGGGACCCACCCCCACTGCGGTGGCGCCGTGCTGAATGAGTTGTGAGAGAAGACCATACTGATGTGTTGTTGATTGTGGTGAACTCTGAGCCTCTGAGGGGAAGATGGACGATGGAGATTTTGGATGGAGAAACGAGACGGGTCGTGGCAGAATCTTGGGCGGTGCTGACATGCCCTCAGAACAGTTGGATCCAATGCCCTCCTCGTTCCCGTTTTAAAAACTTTTTTTTTTTCTTGGTACAAAGTACGAGAGTATGTAAGCTACCATACATAGAACTCAGCATTTCTATGGGTACACAACTTTAACAAGAATAAAAGCCCTGTTCATCACCCGGTAAACGTCATGTAGAGCCTACGGCGAAAGAGGCTTGTTTTCTATGGGGTTCGTGGGAGCAGGACGGACGTCAGACCCCCACAGTTCCAGGGGTATAGTGTTGACAAGCACTGGTTCTCCTGATTCCAACGGTACTTTTTTTCCCTGTAAAAAAATATGTGGCTCTTTTGTTCTTTTTCGCTCACCGATTTTTTCCACAAATTTCCTGTCATGGTTTGAAGAATTCGTAAAGATTTTTCTCAAAGGGTTGAAAAGGGAGTAAAATGAGAAATAGAGCATTGTTTCGTTGGCGGCGTTGTCAGTCCCGAAGGAAAGAAGTTAGAGACAAAAGCAGTTTGAAAAGCAGGCAATTTAACCACAGTTGTCAAAGTACTCGGCGTGTGGATACATCATAAGAGTTTCAGAACAGCGTGGATTAGAGTAAAAGCATTGGGATAAATGTCAGTATCCGTCAGCATCTTACTTAGAAATATCAGTTTCCTCCCGGATGAGGCAATTTGTTAACAAATGAAATCATCCCAAAATGTTAGTTAAGGAAGAAATTGGAACGTTAGGTGTACATATACTTCTGAAACTGAAGGACGTGTAGGAAATAAGTTGGTCAACATGGAAAGGAAGGGGCTTGGAATGGATTTAGGGGAGGAAAGTAGCGGGGTAAGGTCCATCTTTACTGGAGACTCTTTTCAAATTGCCCTAAATGTCCTAAAACGTGCACCGTAATATTCTGTGTTGTTTACACAGAGCATGTACATGTTAAACCATATATGTGTTAATTTCTAGCTCCGGGGTGGATGATGCGTTGACGAGGTTGCTTGGAGAGCAAAAACCAAATATGGGAACATCAAGCTGTTTTAACTCGTCGTATGAACTACGTGACTGGATCCAGTATAGTCTAATACCAGCCGTAAGTATGACGTCACCTCGTATTGTAGGTTCCCGGTCTGGCTCAATCTGGCTCAATATCGTGGAGGTGTTCATAAAGATATAGCTGCAGTAGAGTTTACTAAGACACATTTTATTTTCATGCAACTTTTCACTCTTATTTAATGTTTGAAAGCTCTAATTAGAGTAACATTGAGACATTCCTGGGATGACATCACGGTTTAGCTCATGAATGCAAAACTACTCATTAACATAAAAACCAATAGGGCAGTAAAATACCCTTTGAAAATATTGAAACGAGAGTTTAAGTAAGGTTGAAGCTGACACACAAAGGTGCATTTTGAAGGTTTGTATTAAAACAAATTGATTGCAGCTGCCCTGTGAGGAAATCCCAGACAGGTTTGAAGATCACAAATAGGTCGGAGAATCTCCAGTCGACGTCCTAGACAGCTCTTATAGGACCAGTATTGTAGTAATGAAACTCACAGACAGGCTTGATGGCTGCGGAAACTCCCGATCTCTTGTTCAAATGTCTAGAGACTTTTGGATCATATGTTTTTCATCTGAGTGTCAGAGAAGCAAAGTCATTCTAATACATTCGCAGAGGATCGGAACAGGTGCAAGCTGGATGGGAATGTAACCCCCTCTATTCAATTTTGTATAGAGAAGTTGTGCACGAAGACATTTCTCGCGTGAAACATGAGTTCTCCTTTTTTGTGTCTTTCTAGCTTACGGTCATAATAGTGTTTTCATTTCTGGATCCAAGAAAACGCCTCTGGCCTAAATGCTGCAAAATGAGGCCCAGCATTGCAAGGTGAGAATTGTGGCATTCATTTTTGTGCACAAGATTTATATGTCCTTTTGGAAAGTGGGTTCAGAACTATCTCAGTAAACCATAGATGTGAGGAAACCATTCGTTTTTATCTTGGGTTCAGAACTATCTCAGTAAACCATAGATGTGAGGAAACCATTCGTTTTTATCTTGGGTTCAGAACTATCTCAGTAAACCATAGATGTGAGGAAACCATTTGTTTTTATCTTGGGTTCAGAACTATCTCAGTAAACCATAGATGTGAGGAAACCATTCGTTTTTATCTTGTTCCCTGAATCTGTCATCTGTTATTTTGCGTTCCACATCTCACTTTCAGGTTTTTTTAATGTGTCTCAAAACATTTAGATATTCACGTAAATTATCACAAATTTCAAATTATCCTTAGCAAAAAGTGGCATGATTTGTACGAGCTTATATTTTGTCGCTGCTATTTTTACTCTCGGGTTACCAAAATGAAAGGTTTTACGGTACTTTCAAATCAAGATGGCCGACGTGAATCTGTTCTATTGACCAAGAAAACCTGTGTCCCGAGAGGAAGCGGGTACCCATACTCTTTACCGTTAAAATACCAGGGTACATGCAGTGCGCTGTATTGCTCCATGGAACGTTTGTGATGTGGGCGTAATGTTTTTTTTTTCTTTCTTTCAGTCCTGCAAATTTAATCGATTCCTACGAGGACCGTTGGTCATTCGGCTGTGCCTTTGCGGCCATGTCCACCTGTGTCATAATACTTTTCACGGGGGAATGGTTTTTCAACCCCGATTTATCGGGTGTTCCGGAAATGTTCAGAGGTATTTCCCTTCACGTTGTGTTGATTAAAATTTTGATTGTTGGGGGATAGATTTGCATCCACTATTTCCCTTTAAAGTTGTCGTTTCACTATAGACCTACATTGTCTGAGAAAAACACGGTTGATAGAAAACAAAGGACTTTCACAAAACTTTGCCTAACTTCCTCCAAACTTAAAACATCATGTGCACTAAATTAAATGGTCAAATTATCTACCCAATTTTAATAAAACGTGTGGTGAAAATTGCACTGTTGGCGTTCTACACTTTATACTGACGTGAACGACGAACCTACGTTTTCATGCGGTGCATGTTCTTTACACAATAGGTGCCATCAGCCGCTGTTCATATGCAACATATTAATGTAAGCACGCGTTCTTCCCTACTTTATTACTGACGTGTGTATGGGCGTATGTTATTGGAAACTGCTTCAATTGTAACCTTTGCTCACAGGGCTGCCATTGAAGGTGACTCATCGCAAATATACGTCTGTATCGGTTTCTGATATGAGTGGATAGTTGAAGACGTTAACTTGAAACGTATAATACATATTATACGTTATCTGATTCTTTTTATTTCCTGTTATCCGTGGAATGGCTATTTGATAAGCTATTAAATGAACAAGACTATGGAATGCTATATACTCACTGGGACTGGGCTGTCAAACGTACAACCAGAAAGGGCAGACTGTCATTTACCAAGCTATCTCACCGACGTGAAAAATTCCAAGCGTTGTGATTATTTGAACTGAGCAACACATCGATATCACAGCAGATTTTGTGAAATGGAAAAGTTGTCAGAAGACCCTCAGCTTCAAATCTACTAAAGGAAGGATAATTTTTTTTTTAATTTTTTGGCCAGTAACCAACACTCATAATACGTACGTCTCGGTTGTGTGTGTTGACGCAGAACGGGAAGCATCAACAAATGACCCCGACCGGAATAATGTTACTGTTGTCAAACTTCCTACCTATCTCCGATCAAGCCACGAGGTCAACTCCGTATAAAAATAACCGTTGAAAGTGTACACTCATTATGCAACATTATTGCGTTTTACAATATTTGAACAGAAATACTAAATGTGCCGTGAAGCATTATCGCGCAACAAAGCAAACCATATAATAAAAGCTACCTTTCCCCCAAGAAAATACGACACAGTTTTAAAAAGCTGTGTGAAATAAACAACCCAAAATCACGTCATGCCTACGTGTACAGCACGTTCTTAAAATATTTGCATGGTATTTCTTTATAACAGGCACCGTCCAGATATTCATCGTGATAGTCAACGTGCTGGAAATCAGCATTGCCTACTACCCTCTCCTCCTCTGCCTGAGCACAGACCACGAAGTACTTGGAAACGCGATTGGACTTATTTACACGATAGCCTGGTAAATAAAACCTTGCTTTCTTCAGAAAAAAAACAACAAGGTATTGTTGAAACGACGAATGTTTAACGCGGCAGTTGTGCCATTTTCAAAGACGCTCTTTATGAACTGTAAAAAACATGCAGGCTACGATGTTGTACCACGTTTTTTTCTAAAAGATTTCTAAAAATACTCTCCTTCATGTTTATTTAACCACGCGTGGGAGTACCTTCATACACTCATCCGTGTTAATGTTTAACATAGTACAGTATGTACATGTATATTCACTATGTGGTTAGAGGTGGACCACTCCGTCATGATGTGTACTTGGTCTGCCCAGCGAGACTGCGAGATGAAAGGATGGTCCTAGTCTTGTCTCTACCCTGTCAAAACACTTGACACATTCTTGTATCCAGTGTTTATATCTTACGGATATGTGACCAAACATGTGCAACAGATATAAGGGAAATCAATAGGATATAACTTAACTTAGCATAAATCCTAACGTTATCGTAAGATTCCATGTGTATCTATACGTTCGCTTAATTCCTCTTAGGAGTTGTGGTCCTAAACTGTTATATTTAAAATGGTTATTTTTGTGAGTTGTTGATCGTACCTAGACCTACTGCGTAGATAAGATAGGCCCATGAGGTATGAAGTCCAACATCCAAAGTAACAAACAAAAGAAAAAACTAACACTTGCCGTAAACACCTCACCAAAGAGGTCAAAATATAATTGACTGTTATATTTTGTCTCACCCAAGAGTTCAAAAATCTTTGCAGTCTTTAATCTCGTGCCATAGAATTCCTTTTCATTTGTTGGTAATTGGGATGCATTGTAGTCTCCTCTCCTCTTGCCTATGTGTCGCTCTTTAAACTAACTGTCCCATGCAGACAGCAGACTTCTGCAGCACATTTACAACCGCGCCTGCTTGGTATGCTTGCCTGAGGTTTCTGTATGCACGCGGGGAGGGGGTCTCGCTCGTGTTCAACTTGTCTCCAGACGTGCTTGGACAAGAATTATTCGCACGCGAAAATAGCAGACAGGGGGATGAATATTGGGAACAAGTTTGTAATGGAAGTGTGCTGTACTTTCCTTGTTTGTACAGGGGGTATTATTACGTTGCAACGCGAGCTAACTGCCAGACAGATGATGGGGTGAGCCTGTGATTTTTTCGATGATTGCTGAACCTAAACAAAAACAGAAAGGGTTATTTTCTCTGTTGCATTTTGTAATGAGCAATTGAAGTCTGATTTCTCACTACTTGACCCCCAACCTCTAAAAATAAACCCAAATACGTCAGTTTTAGAAGTATTCGTCTTGTTCTGAAGAATTGTTGTGATACAGACGCTAACCTTCCTGAGATGTTTGTATTGTGGCCAGTTTTTAAATGTAGCTTCACGCCTCAGAAGGGCATGTAAGCATGATATTTCCGAATTTTCTTGCTCCCCACCCCGATCAATTTTCCCCGCCCGTCTAAAATTGATTCTGAAGACCTTGTCCCAACTGTTGTTGCTACCGATCCTAAAATAATACCAACGTAATTGTTCCCAGAGCTAGAGTTCTAATTGTCGTTCGCATGGGTTAAGGGTAATAGGTATTAGTTTAGAGTTGCACGGACAGTTAGGGGTAAAGGCTAGTTAATGCCAAGATCGAAAAAAAATGTATGAAGCATCTCATAGAATTGTTCTCACCGTATTTTGCATTATAGCTCGAGACACGGGTGATTACAGCTGTATTAGGCCCCGTGTACTTCTGCTATATGGCCTTATTTCTCCGCTTCATCTATGGGCTGTCCGTCAGTTTACGCCAGATGTTTTGCCCTGAAAAAGTAAGCATAATATGCACCTTGAAACACAGTTTTCAAGTTATTTTCTAATCCGCTTTGGGAGAGAAAAGATCAGTTTCATAACATGAATCCATTTCCTTGCTTGGAAAGGAATCCTCCGTTAACATGGTGACGATTGGTGGCGAAAGGGACGATGAATTTGCCAAGACACACTTCTACACAAGAGTAAAATATCTTCTGACCCCACCCAAACCAGGGTAAGCTTTTCATCCCATCGCTTGAAAACAGTGTCTACCATACACGGACAGAAATGGAATTTCCGTTGAGCGGGGAGAGTTTTGTCCAAAAATCAGATATCACCAGAGAATGAAAACAGACCGACGCAGAGAACTCGGGCATTCAAATAATGAAGTTTGCATACCGGTTAAGTTTTGACCCTTAATTTGCCCAGACATTGCTTGGCCCGGTTTACACGTTGAGGTTACAGTTGGAATAGGCTGGAGACATGACTTCATATCAAACATGTATGGTCGTGGAGTGCAAAGTGACTGAAATCTTTTTGATTCCGATATAGGGTGCTCTCCATTCTACCCGACCTCTAGTTTCATGGACCACTCTCATTTTGCCTACAACTTACATGGGCTGCCAAAATTTGCAGAAATATCAGTTTGGTTGGTTTTCGAGTTTACTTCCAATTTGTCCAAATGACACAGGTGGATCCCGGAGGGGATGGGGGCCAACCCCCTGCTCAGAACCCAAAAAAGAATTTAAAAAAATGAAACAACATGTATATTGCAATAGTGAAACAATGACATCCCGGAAGGATTGATATTTGCGCATCGGTAACAATGTAATCGGAACAATCGGAATAAAAGAAATCTAAGTGGTTTGATCCGCCCCTGAAAGGAGATGCAGAACCATTGATTCACCAACACGTGCAGCTAAGGCCCGTTAAATCGTCATGTTCCTGAGATGGGAGTTTTGCTTTAATCGACAGAGTTGACCATTATTGGTCAGGGAAAATTAATAATTCAGCAAGTTGAAGCTGGGTGTAATACATTCTTTCCCGTTAATTTTCTTGGCAGGGGTGAGGTGAGCCTCAGTGTCCGACTGCGCAGAAAATTTATTGAGGATGCACCAGGTACAGTTCTGCTGGTTATTCATTAGAAATATATGTTAAGCCGACATTTTCATGACCTTATCGACGAATGGGTCTCAGTTGACCTTTGTCCCCGCTACCTCTTTAGATGTCAACGTCATCAATACACAGCACTATTTTTAAAAGGACACAAAACATATATGATTCAGTATGGCAAGAGTAAATGATCAAAAGTGGTGGTAAATTGCGCGCTCAGGAGCAAACCACGGGTAAAGGAAACTCATATTTCTTGCTTGGGGCTGTCTACACTAAAGGATTTTCTTTTTAATTGAGGGGCTATTTTGACCGTGTGGAATGCTCGTTAAATTGAAAAAAAAATGTCTTATTTCATTGTCGTTTCACGTTTCTTTCTCCTCGATGTTGGTTTCAGTCGTCAAACTCCTGGCCTTAGAAGTCTCAATGATTAATACAAAACAAATATTTTAGTTTTATCTAAAACAAAACATTTTATTTGCTCTCTATTTGTACAGGCTTCAAGTTTTCAAGACGGTGCGTTTGCACGTTTATTCTCAGCGCTCTGACGACGTACCAGGTAAGTTTTTGAAAGCGTAGTCTATTTCAATGCGCTGATCTGCAGTGACAATCCACACACCCTGTGTTTGTTGGCGAATTGTGGCGTCCACAGCAGGCTGGAAACATTGGCACTAACAATGAAAATGTAGTAATGATTAAAAAAACAACTTCAAACTCGGAGTTTCTCAAGTCCTCACAAGTCAGTCACAAGTTATTCAAGTGTATTATGGGGCAAAAGAAATCATTCGTAATCGTTCAACTTGTGACCTTATTACCTTTTGACTTCGGCATGACGATCGGATGGTAATCTGTTTCTCGTCGGTAAAAACGATTCCACGCGAAAATAGAAACGAACACCACGTGGTCTTGCATAATACTTGTTGTTCAGAATGAGCGGGTTTCCCCAGAGTAGTTGTGACATTGAATTATAAGGTCGAGCTCAATAAGAAACGTATTACATGTTCTACGGGTTAGTCTTCTATTTATTTTCAATTTGCCGCACTATGATATCTTCTGTGTCAAGTTCGGTTGCTGTTGCAGGTTTTCATTCAAAGTGAAACATTCTTTTCATTTTCACTTACATTTTTAATGTTTCTTATTCACATTTATAATTCCTCCATTTTATCTTTATTTCATCATTTTTTGTCACTTTTCCTTTTTTTACATTTATGTTAATTTAGCGTATGTCTTTATTATTGGTATTTGTGGTTTCCTTTTGAAATTTGCATTTAGCCAATTTATTTTCAGTTTAATCTCAATTCCAACTCGTCCTCTGTTATTAAAGTAAATATTTTTTAACAAAATAAGTACAATGATTGTTGTACATGTACATTGAATAACTTACAGAGCAGATTAATCGTTTCGAAACTTACCTATCGCAATCCCTCGAATATCATCGAGGAAGTAGCTATCAGTACTTCCTTGATGATATTCGAGGGATTGCGACGAGTAAACATGTACATGTAATTCCAAGGTTGTGAACGTGGTCTCCATTTGAGGAGACTGTGAACTTTTCCCCACATTAGCTAGCCGCTCGCCCAACTTGCTTGGTGGTGGTGTAAAGGGTCCCCAGTTGTATAGGGTTATTCGGATAGCATTGATACTGTGAATTTAGCATACTTTGGCAGCTAACTCACAGATAAAAATGCGTGAGGTAATGAAGACAGTCTGGTACGCCATACGATCCACTGAAGGTGCCGACGAAATCTTTGTGTGTGGTTTAATATGCATGCGAAAAAAAGTATAAGTGCGCCTAACCGATAAGAGCAAAACAGTTCATGGCTTGGGTCAGGAGTAAAGCTGTCACATGTATGTAGACGCGCCACAGATGTACCGAGCTAGCCAACAGTTGACAATGGATCAAATTCCTCTCAAAACTTAAAGCATTGTATAACTGTTTGTTCTTAGGTACATTAGACCATTGGTACATCTCCACTTTCCCCCCTCGTTTCTCCTTAACGTAATCTCATGTTATCAAGGGTTTGAAAATTCAGCTTTGTAGCTCATTTCAGCTTTTTTGTTTAGATGTTGGCCCTGAATTTTAGCTTTTTTGTACAACTGGTGTGCACAAAACGTATGGGAAGTTTCTACATTTCAGCTGTTTGTCAGCTGTTTTCAGCTTAACTTTGAAATGGCCACTTACACCCCAGTTATTGAGATGACGTAGAAATGGAGACAATTCCTAGCAATAAGTGAATACAGTCCTTCAATTTTGCTCGAATCCGCAGCTTGGCCTGGTGTATGTCATGTCCTTATCAAGTGTTTGGGAGTCGGCGAACCGAACGCTGGCAATAGGTGGTGACCTGTACAATATTTTTGCCAAGGTCAATGAAACCGATGCGTTCCTTGGCCTCAAGACTTTCTTTGACATAGCAGAGGGTAAGATTGCAATATCTTTAATCCATCTGTACAGACACAATTTCAACTGTCTTATATCTGATTAATTTTAGGCAAAATCAATTGTTTTATCTGATTTCTAGTATAAACGGCTCTCAATTTGCCTACAACTTGTTTGGGCTGCCAAAGTTTGCAGAAATATCACTTCTTGGTTATTTTTCGATTTTACCTCCAATCCGATCAAAATGGACATTGTCTCAGTGATTTTAAATATGGCGGTAGTTTCTATTAGTATTTAGTTATAAGTGTATTATATTATCCGATGTTCTGATAGCTGTGTAGAATTGTTAATACTTATCTTATCTCATGTAGAGATTTGTTTCTTTGAAGTGCTTTTTACTTAATGTGTATATATTTTCCACGGTGGCCTCTGTTTTCAAGTCATTTTTTGAACCTAATGTTTTACAGACACCTTTTGGCCGACTTGTTACTTCGCTATCGCCACAACCATAGGGTACAGTCTACACATGCAACTATGCTACAGGTGAGTCTCTGTTTCTATTTGATATTAATCTGGTGATATTTAATTAAACAAGTATTTGAATTCATGTGCTACAGTTCGATGCTGAAAGTATTTCGAATAGATTACGCTTTCTGTGTGAGTTTTTCCGCGGCGATTGGATTTGATGATATTTTGCGCAGTTGGTGTCGTTTCTCAGACAAGTTTTCTTTCCTTTCTGTGGCCATAATTATTTTCTGTTTAGAAAACATACACTTCGACTTTGGCGTGGCAACAAAGATTTTTGCCCGAGCACACAGGCCAGTTTCAGCTCTCTTGTGGTGAGTTCTCTCTGAATGGAAAAGTCTTTCAAAGAAAAGCGTTCGTCTTGTCCTTTGTACATTTCAGACTGTAAGCAACAGCACCCGAGCGTAATCATGCCCTTAAAACTTTTGGTTTGTCAACAGGTCGCTAATCTTCGGTTCACAGGCTACCACATTGGTTTTTCAGTTTGGGGTGAGTGGTTTTTTCTTTTTTCTTTCCTCGGCATCACCTGTTACATTTTTGCGAAAATAAAAATTGTGAAAAAATCGTCAGAATGCTCGGCATTTTAACAAGAACTGAATTTTTAAAGCAAATTCCCACTGCGACCAACATGCAGAGGAGAACCTGCCCTCGACTCCTTTGAAAATTCTGGTGTATATAGGGTCTATTTGATATGGATGATCGGCCATTTGTGAACATTATTTTGTGCTCAGTTGACTTGGGGCGTTTGGCCTATCGTGATGGCCGGGTCATTGCTCAAGATTCATCGACTTGAACATTGGTTTTCGTGTTGTCCCGTTTACAGGCTTTTTCATCCTTCAAGTCTTGTCTTGGACTCTTGTGTTTTTCATCGTTTACTTTATCATCTATCCTCTCACGCAAGCTGCAGACACGCTGGTTTTAAGCCTTCTGAAGAATTACTGGTAAGGGATTTTGCCCTGTCCTTGTTTTAGTTCGAAAAGCGTGCGTATTGATGTCCTATAGGCTGGTATCGTGCACTTCATTATAGTTGAGAACTATGTTAATTGGGCGGGAAGGTTAACACTTGTCTTTTGTCCACTTGCAGGTTGAGTTTCTTGGTTGGTTTCGTCTTGTATTACGCCCAGGTTTTCCTGTCACAGTTGGCGTTCTTGCAGAGTCAGAAAGACAAAAGCAAGATAACGACATACTTGAGTCTTGACAACAGGTGAGTAGTTTCCAGAACGCGACTCCAAGTAGTTGGTCCGTCTACAACAATTTACTGTCTGTATTGTACGGCGTGTTGTTTTCTTGTGAGAGATGAGCCTAAAAGAAATCTACGCCGCCAATGAGAGCTAATTTCAAGTAAAATTTGATTTGAAAGTAAATAATTGGTATGTTTTCCCCAACAAATGAAACGGCTGCCTCAAATTAGTAACATTGCCAAGTGCCATGAACAAGGCTGACTGCCCAGCGTTGCTAGATATTGTAGGTTTGGCAGTATTACCGGTGCATTAAGTTAAGTCACGGACTTCAAATCTGAAGCAGAACTATTCAGCAAATTGATGAGCATATAATGAATCTTTGCAAACCAGTCAGGCACATTCATTCAGATAGTTTTACTTGTTTTTGCTTGCGCACGTCCCTGTCGTATGAACCAACTCAACTTCGCAATAACAGTTATGCTTACACCAAAACTCTCATCTCAAGGCCAGTTCAACCTTCTGGTGAATGCAAACATTTTGCAACGACATTCGTTCGAGGTGAATGTGTTCAACTTTTGTGCGTATTTTCTGTGCACGAACATTAAGGTCGGACGCCACAAGTTTGCGTTCGTGTCGGCTTTCGTTCCAAGTATATGAACCAACCTTCACGCAATTCTGTGAGTCCAGCCTCTGTGTGTTTCTTTGATGCGGCTGAAAGAGGCCAATCAGAAGATTAACTGAAATCTCTCTCAGCCTTATTTGCAGACGAGAAAACGATTAAAATTGATTACTTTGAACTTAAAAATGCTACCCCATCTGTATGAAATGAGTGGCATTGTTGCCGGAGCCGCTGTTGAGTTAAAGACCTTTGAAAGAATCCTCAGTATTTGGACAGCTACACAACTTTCATTTTCATCGTACCAAATTGAGTAACACAATCAAAACAAAGAGCTCAAGTCACCCAAATAATACAAAGTAAAACTCAAAAGTCGCTCCGGTGACATAAGACTCATTTTTGCAGAGCGGGTCACAAAATAAGCAACACTCCTATTTACTGCAAAGAGTTGGACATTGTTACTTTAACAGGCAGTTCCTTTTGGGTTGATGTGGTTGATGACTTGACTTGGCCATTACGCAAGTCATCAACTTGTCCTGCAAAAATTGCTTTGACTGTTTGCTTGCGTGGCTCCTATCCTGACCTTCATAATAATGCGTGGATTTCAATTTCTCCAACTCCTGACATCAGGCGAGCCTACAACGTGACCGTCTACATCACCCTGTTCATGAATGTTATCCTGGGCCTGCTCTCCTGCCTGATGCGGATTTTCAAGGCGGTGTTCTTCGGTGTTTTGTTCATTGGCCGCATCGACCGCAGCACGTTAATGCGGGGATGGGAGCTATGGGATCCGGGTAAGGCCGTGGACCGCTGTCTTTACACCACGAGATGCATTGCAATATTCCCGCTATCACACTGGGTATATAAGACATTATAGTGAGCGAGTAGTTAGCACTTCGAGCAAGAAACAGAGCGTCAGCGTTCAATAGACCCCTTGCAGCTGGTACTCAGTAATGGTTCTCTTAACATGGACGGAATCTCTGAAAAACTTGACGTGAAATGCAAGCCTTCTATCAATGGTACGACTAAAACATGTGAAGAGGTGTACGGTGCCCGTGCACGATACAAAACAGTATTCGGAAGGTCCAGTTTTTATAGACATTTGCTGATCAGAAACAGCGTAGGGACATCACACCGTACTGCACCCTATCGTGGTGATATCGCTAAGTCTGTGATCCGTCAGAATTGAAATCGTGGAAAATGTTAAGTGGGCCTTCTGTCAGAGGAGTGGCATAAATCTCTGCTGGAAATGGGGGGGGTGGCAGATAGTGAAAGATGGAGGGGATGACATGAACATTTGAAAAGTGGGGGGAGGGGGCGGTGATGGATGACACAATATGACTCTATATAGAGGTCAATGTTCATGATGTAAATATGCATGAGTAATATGGATTCAGAAGTCAGTTCCCCCTTTTTTGAGTGATACTGAATGCAGCTTAGTCGTTGGAACTCGAAAAATTCCTCACCATCCACTTTAATTTTCTTGCTCACCACAAAAAGTGGGGGATGATTCAATAGCCAAGCCCCATCTCAAAAAGTGGGGGGCATATATACCCCCCACATTTACGCCCATGTGTCAAAGAAGTAAAAGCAGTTCTCCCTAGAAACTAGTGGTCGAAAGAACAACTAAATTTGCCGAATAGAGACAAATTTACGTTTTAATCTGTCACAAATCTGGCAACTCATAATGTAGGCTGAAGCAGCAACCTGAACAACAGGTTTAGATGGGCCATGGTATACGTGATTTGTTTTTTTTTTCAACCGACAGGTTTTAAGGCCTACATCGGGTTCTTACAGTTGGAAGTGGCTCACACACATCCTGTAGTCGTCACATTTTGCCATCTGCTGTGGAAAAGCATCGAATCTAATAAAAAATCCGCATTGCAGCCGACCTACAAGACTTTCGAAGTAGTCGAAGAGGGTTTGTATAACTGCCTTGATACATGAAATAGTCTACGGTATATGTACTTCAGTTTGAAGGAGGACCACAAAAGTGGGCTGTCATAATAGTTGGTCATCCAACAGCCGTCTGGTGCAGTCTCAAACAAAAATACTTAACTTCAGTCATTCGGAATATAGGACACAGAAATATCTTCACAGTTATCAAATTGATGCTATTTGCTGATGCATCCGTCAATACCTATACACTCATATTACGTCATATCGTTGCCATTTTTTTTCAGATAAGGGTATTCTGTGTGTATCGATAGATTACCCAAATTTCAATAAATAAATCACCTCTTTTATATCTGTCCAATTCTATGACAGCCCAAGAAGATGCCAAGAGCAACACGGGACACAGAGTGATTTGCAAACGCGCTCGAAACCGCTGGTTCGTGGCCTTGACGCTCATGCGCAACCGGGCGCTGACTGTCAGTCGGGTCCCTGTACTTCCCGAGCTGCAGCAGGTCAGGGAGGACACAAGGGACGCGACTGATGATAGCACGGTAAAGGTGAGCCCAGGTAAAGTATTGAACTTTTTTTACGTTCACGTGAACCTTGTACTGCCTGCCTGCTATGGTCTTCTGTTTCTGCTTGGTATCTTTGAACTTCGTTTTCTGCATGCTGATAGAACACTGTGGGATGCTGTGAGTATTTCTGTCTGTACTTTTGTTTTGGGAAGTTGCTAGTGTATCATCTTTGCTAAATAGGTATTTTACAGACGCAACGAAGTACCATTTGTACACAAAAGTGGCTTTGGTGTCTGTCTTGAAACATCGTGGAGCCTGAACTTGTCTTTCACATTTAGTTTTTGGGAACACTGTTGGATCATAAATCGCCACCTCATGTTATCTTTCTTCTGTGTAGTTTTTGCGTTTAGTTTAAAGTAGGATATGCACCACGTATCGATTCTACTTGCACCGTGTAAAAGTAAAAGAGATAGAATCAGAGAAAGGGTTTTATGGTTTGGATATAAATTTGTGACTCGCTCTGCAAAAACGAGTCTCATGTCACTTTAGCCAGTCTTGAGTTTGACTTTGTATTAGATTGAGGAATTTGGGCTCTTTGTTTTCATGTGCCACTCAGTTTGGTGTGATTAAAGTGGACGTTGTGTGAGTAGATGTTAAAATGTTGAGGATTCGTGTTGTTTAAACACTGTGCAAGATTCTTCCTAAGGCTTTTAACAGTGACTCCTGCAACACGTGACTTGTTTTTGCAGAGCGGGTCAGAGTTGAGACGTTTTATGTCCACCATGTAGTGTATAAAGCATTGCATCAAACCTATCACTGCACGACTTCTAAGATTCTGTTAACCTGCTGCACACAAACTTTACGTCAATACTAACAGTTTCGATTCTTCATAATTCGGCTAACAGCTGCATTAATTTTCTTGGCGCCTCCCTATCTTGCACGTTTTGTGTTTAATCACTATGAATGATCCGAGATTTAAGCCGTGTCTCCATTTAGTCTGCGTGGTTATTATGACACTGCGAAGCCGAAAGGTTATGAAAGCGTTTAAAGGAATTTACAGTTGATCAAAGAGTCCGTTCCGAATGAATGGGAAAGACTAAGCCTTATTTCACGCAGTCTGTAAAGCTGTCGAAGTGAAAGCTGAACGGTGTTTCTTTTTGCTGAGCGATAAAATCACACTGTTGCGATTATAGCTGTGAAATGAAACTTTTTACATCATCCATTTCAGCCAATTTTATTGACACACTGATCAGCATTCACAACATTCAATTTCACGCAAAATAAATCGAGACTGCTGAAAAAGGAAGCTTATTCCACAAAGTACTCTTGCGAACTTCAGGAAAAACCCCTCTGGAAATTTCTTCAACCGACTGTTTTTCCAAGTTTAATATTTTCTACAAAAAGCCAAGAATCCCAAGATGCAATTGTATCCAAGGTCGACTTATAGTGCTGACGCGAAGCGCGCCAGTAATCGTTTTATAAAATGACTGCGGATGTACCTGCCCCATGCATTTCGCATGCGCATCCCGCACTGCGCTTGCGTGTCTCCCTCCCATTTATTGCTCATCGGAGATTGACCACTGTACTATCTTCCACACGTAATCCCAAACTCTGCACGTTTCAGATGCGGTGGTGGGAGGTCCGACCAGTGTCACATCTGAGACTGAGCTGTGAATCCAATTACGTTCACCTCAGCGAGATGAATGATCTGGAAGATAACCCCGGACTCCAACGTCAACTCGAGGACGTCCTCCAGCCGGCCGTCCGCACCAGAGCCAGCCATAGTTCCGCCGAATCGTCCCCAAAAGAGACGGACTCGTTGCTCGATGGGTATACCAGACCGAGGGGAGAGTCCCTACGGGACACGCCTTCCACTAGACGGCCGGCGAATGCTCGGAATTCTGCATCCGCTGTTTTTAAGCTGGAGAACGACTCACGATCAGAGACGGAAGCGTGATCGAGATATAACTTCTAGGTGTAATACGCTTGAAAACCTTTTCATGTTGCTGGCTTATCTAATCTACAGATTATGTTGGCATTCGATTCCGCGGGTTCTGTCCATCAGGCACGGTCAAATAAAAAAATGTCGAACTGCCTATTGACACGGCGTGCGTTTTGGTTTCTTTAACACAAGGGAGGGCGGTACTTCAGACATGTGAAGGCATTTGACTATTTCGATAAAAAATCTTGCCTACACTATGTGCTTTTTAAAAAATATTTGCCAACCAACTGAAGGTGACTTCTTTAAAGGTCTGCAAATCTGCAATATAGGATCCGATGTTGACGCTGAAGTCTGAGGTGTTTGTTAAATTGTACTCTTTGACAAAGGGTAGGCATGAAATGCTCCCAGATCTTATTCAGGGAACTTTTAGAATCACACACTCTTTCATGTTAACCTATACCGCATTAGTGGCGTGTTTGGAGGGTTGGACCGGAGAGGGGGGGGTTCTCCAGGGGCTATTGCCATTTTTAAAAACATTTTCAGGAATTCAAGGACCCAACATTTCATAACAGATATTACATATTTTCTAGGTAGGGAGGTTCTTTCACAAATAAATAAATTCGAACAATCGTTTCAGAAAAAAACACACTCTGTTCCCCGTTTGTTACTCAACCGTACCACGTCAGTGGTTTTTCAAATTCATGCATACAGTGTGGGTTGCGGTCCGGTAAAGATCTGTGAATTATCATGGTAATGTGTCCGATGATCACTTGAAATAGAAACAAATCTCTCGCCTGTGCTGTTGTGTCGACGTCTGTTATGTCGACATCTGTTGTGTCTGCTTAGTGCAAATGGTACATTTGAAGCAAGATATGGGACGGAGAGAACCCCCCTGCCTTTGTGTTGGTCATTGTTTGATCGGAATCTCAGGATTTCTTTACAGACTTCTGGGGGTGGGATGTGTTAGGTAACAATAGTCTACAGTGTGTATAGGGGTGGAATAGGTAAGGGGGGTACCCCTCCGTCCCATATCTTGCCTGGTATATAATGATACGGTAAATAGGTGATAGGTGTGGATTTCAGTGCAGTCAATTCAAATGTCTTTCACAATAGTTTGTTCACGTTTAAAAAATTGGAAGTGTTAAATTTAAACCGTCGTGTAAATTGAACAGTATTGCAGGGTGTCTGTCTGCCGCCAACATAACGTATACATGGAGATAATTTTTCCCGTCTTCGGCATGTTCTTTGAACTGTTAAAATTGTCTCCGCAGGAAAAAAAAAATAGACACGAGAGGGTTCCCATCAAAATGCAAATGTACAAAACCGAATCTTGATGCTGATATTTCTTTTTACCGCTATCCTTTTTGAATAATGGTCTTGCCGTATTTTGTCAAGTCCTGTTGCAATAATGGCTCAACTTTTACTCCATGTAAAACGTGCTCTGTGGCAATCGTAGTTATACTATGGATCGAAGTGCTGCACGCGTACTAAGAACGTAAAACCTACGAATGATTCCAAGTTGAATGTGTCTGCAATGAAATGTATGCGTTAATTGCTCTCCGTACAGTCGGTGCAAATTCGAATCGCACTGAAGCTAAGATTGCTGCTCAAATTTGTCGTATCGATTAACAGAAATTATTCCAGTGTGAAATATGTAGTCCAGATTGATCCGCGTAAAATATTGTGCCTTCTAATTGAACATTTGTATTGTGTTCTTACTTCTACCGTTTTGTAAAATAGTCTTTCAAATGATTCCAGGGGATAATGATCAGAAGGGAAATGCGAGCTTTTCATATTTAGAGTTGCAATAAAACTACGCATTCTTAATTTTAAGATCATCACAACAGGCCTATCATTTTTAAAATCTGTACGTGACAGATAGTATTTGCAAGTCTTGTTACTGTACTGTTAAGCTGTTGTTGATACGATATTTGAAGTTTAATCAGAAGCTTCGAGCTCGTTTCGAAGCAGGTAGTGTATTGGGTTTATTTGCAAGGTTTGATAATGTTGAAGCTGAGGAGGTCAACACGTCAATGGCAGACATTTTTTTTTTATAACTAGCGTTAAACTTTAACTGTCACTCAGAGTTCCTGAGACACAAACTAGATATTTCCTAGAGTTTATTCCAAAGATATGTGTTACAAGATTTAAATTCAAATTGTGGTTTTTTGCCTCAATGCGACGCGATTTTTATTGCTTTTTGCGTGGATGTTTGCTTATTAAAAGGTACATTCAAATTGACACGAGTACTGCATTGCGTATCAGTTCTTGTCTCCAAAAGTACACGAAATACCCGGCTGTCTATGACATTAAATTTGTTTGCCATTAATGAAAGAAAGGGATTTTCCCCAATACCATAGTACACGTACGGAAGCGTATAAGGGCCACATGCAAAAAAAAAAAATCCGGGTTACTATCTCGCCGCAAGTGGCCCTCATACGCTTCTGTATGCATGCGAGTCTCCATTCGCTGATTGTCCAAGTGAAGTTCGCCTTTCCAAACACCGATTGACTTCACAATGTATATTTTTTAATATAAAAAGACTTTGGAGGATATTTATAAAGAAAACAGTTTATGTTTGGAAAACAATCATTGCCCTCTAAGTATGCTGGTCTTTTTTGCACTGTTTTACTCCGACTGTTCAAAAGATTTAAAAAAATGTTATTGCCGTCTTGAAAAGTTTTCTATTTTATCAACTATAAACTGATACTGATATTTTGTAGAGTTCTTTTTGTTTGGGACTGACTGCAGCATTTTTCTGAAGGACAAGCAATAGAGGCGAGATTGCTTCCCCCTTTGAAACTACAAGTACAATGTACATGTACATAATTGCTGCTGTCATAACGTATTTGCAACCATAGAGGTCGCCCTCTTATAAAGGCTCTTGGTGGCACTGTTTGCGGTTGCCAATGTAAAACAACGTCATGATCGTTACATGTGTTTGAGCTGTCATTTCGGCCGGAAGTTCGGGTCGTTAAAAAAGCGAATAATGGCCTCTAAGCGAATTACCCAAGAAACCTTTGATGCAGTTGTGAAAGAAAATATCGAAGAATTTGAGATGTCGCCCGAGGAAGCGCTTAGAGAAGCCATCGAGCAGTTTGAATCGCAAGGTAGTGTGGCCCAGTTTTCAGACGAACATTTTCATGAATTTAATACTAGTAGTACTAGTACTACGTGTAGCTCCGTGGGGCATGACATATAACTAGCCCCAGCATCACTAATCAGGTGCTAGTGTAGCACGGACTCTCACTCCCGCTCCATCCTTAGCCACACATCCGTATACGCAATTTTGTGTCGGCGTACTGAACATTTTCGGCGCACCCACTTATCATCGTGGGCGCAATTTCTTTCGCACACAGAGGTGATCCTTAGCCTCTCCACTTTCTTAGCGCTGAATGATTTCACTCGTGTTGTTCTGGTATTTTCCAGTCTTTTTGCCTTCAACCATTCAATCTCATGGACTCGCTCTCACAGTCGCCATCTTTAAAATAAGATCGTTGACCATTAAGTCACTTGACCCCTCATCGTCTCGACGGCTGTTCCATGTCAAGAATCTAAACTGCTGCCAAAATTTTGGAAGAGCCCATTGGCACATGTAGTAAAGATGACGCCTGTATTGCAGTGTAAGGATTGTGTGGGATGCCAGGGATGCTCATGCATGTACATGTGGTTTTTTCATCATTTTCATGGGGGCACTAAAAGCAAACTGTCTGTGGCTTGCTCATGTCAGGCTGTGTACATTGAAAATCTCAAGGGTGGGAGTCTAGGGGTATAATACATGTGCGTCTGCTGTGGTGGAGCACTTCCATGTACCTCAGTGGCCCCGTCCCCCACCTGCAGTTCCCCCTCAGTTACACTGCTGTGTATATGTAGTTGGTACTACTTCCAGCGATTTCACTCACTGTAGGCGATATAACTAAGGTGAAAACAAATTTCAAAATGAGAAAAAAAATGAGGTTCATTTTCTGTATGGATCATGTCATTTTTAATTCCTCTTAGGTGTTAATCTAGTTAACATTCTCAAGACAGTTCCGGCAGTTGGTGGTGAAGGGGATGTAGCACATGCAGCAAGACATCCTGTTCTTGAAGCCTTGGACCAACTCCACCAGGTGCTACAAGGGGTAGTCACCGACAAGGAATCGGTCAAAGCATCCCTGACAAAGTTTTCCTTGGAGTGTGGTGTGGATATCTCACATCGCATCGCAGCTGCCAGTAACAATGCCTACCCTACCCTGAAGTTCCTGGTGCAGAAGTATCTGAAGGACGAGGGCATGCTGTTGGCAGCTCTAGACGGCATGGCAGCTCTCCTGAACGGCCAGCCCGACTTGATCCAGGGGGCGGATGGTCAGATGCTTTGCGACATCCTGCGGGAAAACGTCACCTCGGAGAAGATTGCCGCATCCTGCATCAGAACTATACGCTTAACGTGCACCATGCACGAGATCAATCGGAGAGCCTTCGTCAAAGCTGAGCTCATACCATTGTTGATCCAGACTCTTGAAAACTGTCCGACTGCCGCTGCCATCAAGGAGGCATGTGGAGCTTTGAGAATCTTGACGGTGGATGATGACATCAGGGTTCCCTTTGGAAAAGCTCATGACCATGCTAAGATGATCGTGGAAGCAGGAGCCATGAAAGTGATACTTGACACACTAACGGGTAAGCCTTACGAACTACACCTGCTGATACTTGATTCTGTGTAATTGATATGGTATAGCCATTCTACAGGAGCAGGAGTCTTTTCCAAGAGAAGTATCAAATTATTAAATATTGTTTCACTGTATAATATATGAACTAAAAATTAATATAGGCAAAGTTAAAGTACTGTTCCTAATTTCAAACTGAAATTTCCAAGACGATCCTGCACTTAATCAGACTGGTCATTTAAACTATACCTGAAAATTGTATACTCTTTCATAGGTACTGTATGTTTACTAGAGTAGTCTGAAGTGATCACTTTGTTTTCTAATAGTGGTGTTTCTTCACTGTTTCTTCCCTCGACCAGCTCATGTAGACGATCCATCTCTTGCCGGTGATCTGTGTCTGACACTAAGCCGACTAGCCGTACGCAATGAGTTCTGTCAAGAGATCGTTGATCTGGGTGGCTTGAAGCTCGTGCTTCAGGTGTTGAATGACAACATGGAGAGTCAGGTACACTTGCCTCTTTGCCAACTTGGCGTGACATGCCAAGAAATACCACTGTTCCTCAGGGAGTAACGAGGGACTTTCACATTTTTTTTTGTAGAGAGTTGTTCTTTACACTTAGAAATGTTAACATGCACATGTACATGTATATGTATGCCTTTTTAAGGCTGAGTCAATTCGAATAATTCACTAGGCTAATGTTTGACGTTCAATTCTATCGAATATCCGAATATTCGGTTATACCAACTGGCAGAGTGTTGAGGAATAAACCACATACAAAATCAGTTGTAATAAATGCACACTATTGTACATTATGATCACTATAATAGCTTCTTACGTCTAGGAGTATCTCCAGCCATGATTTAGCAAGATTAAGAGATGAACAATACTCCTTGCCCTGTTCAAAATTTCTGTTCCTATTAAATTGTGTAATGAATAATTTGCGTTTTGAATCGTTTTTCATTTGAAACTGCTTGAAACAAGCCTCCATGGTGCAATTTTTCTCATTTAAAACAAAGGAAATTCCCCGTTCCTTTTCATGAATTTTGCATTTGAATATTCACATTCGGAAAATAATATTCGAATACTCGATAATTGATCGTATATTGTGGATATGTGGATATTCGGCACAGCCCTATGCCTTTTAAGGCTGTCCACAATTTCAGAAGACTCAACTGTAACCCAGTTCAAGGTTCGAGGGTGAGGAGGGCTAAACAAGAGGGGTGAGATTTCTCAGAGTTTGAGCTGATTTCAGCTTCTTGTGTTTTGGATTTCAGCTTTTTTTTCTTCACTGGCTGTGTACAAAAGTATAGGAGATTTTCACAGTTCAGCATCTTCATGCTAGTTTTCAGCTGTTTTCAGCTATTTTTATCATTGGTCAATCTCACCCCTGAAATATCATTATTATGAATGATGTCCCCTGAAAGAATTTCTGGCAGTTATGACGAGTTGGAGAAGAATTGTGGTTGTAAAGAGCAGTATGCCTTCCATGCAGGTTGTCGTGAAGCACGTTCTGGCCATGCTGAAGGCCATTGCTGGTAATGACCAGGTCAAGGTAGCCATTGTCAATGCAGGTGGGGCCTCCATCATCATCCAAGCGGTCAGTCAGCACATCAAACAGCCTGGGGTGAGTAGGGCAATGGTGAGGTGTGAGAGACTATTGCTTACATGGAGGTGCTGTTGAAGCTAACACCCTGAGCTGACAGACTGAGTGTTCAAATTTATTTGTGATGATGGAAAATAAAATTTTGTGATCCTTGAACCTGCACAAGGGGGCTCTTGAGGGAACATGTTTGATTACTTTTTGCCTGATAAATCCAAGTTTTTTAAGAACGACCACTGCTCCTGGAAGCAAGACGTCCAACAAAATGGTATTAGTATCTATGAGTCATGCTCACCTAAGGAAAATGAACAAATTATCACAAAGCGTCCACTGGATAGTTTTAGTTTTTTTATAGGGTAGACCACAATGCAATGTATTTTTCAACAACTGGCTAGTAAAATCACTTCCCTACATTATTCAAACGGGCCTGTTTTCACGTACAGCACATTTAATGCATTTTAAACGAATTCATTCAAACCTCATCCTGCTTCTGGGTTTAACCCTAACCTTCCCCAACCACACAGAATTAAACAGTAGTAAAGTGTTTAATTCTGTAGGGATAGGTCTGGTAGGCCCAGACAGCTGGCTTTTGCATTGGGTTTTGCATTGGAGTCCAACAGCCTATGTGCACAAAGTCCCATGTGGGTATTAAACTTTGTGTGAATGGAGAAGGTTAGGGCCAGCAACCCTTGGGGGGTTAGGGTTAATGGCCTTGATCATTCACTCTTCTTCACAGGTTTGCGAGGCTGGCTTTGGAGCCATTGCAGCCATAACGCTGAGGAATCCTAGCCATGCTAAGATAGCCATGGAGGCTGGCACTGCGCCTGTCATCATACAAGCCATGCAGATACACCCAACGGAAGCAGCGACACAGGTCTGTAGCATAGGCTACAAAAAACAAAAATTAAACGGAATTTGGAAGAATTCAGTATCGGATCCTCACAAAAGTCAAGCGCCCATAAACACCATTAAGTCTGCCATACTTGTTAATCTGTTCCCTTTACCTTGCCGAAAGCCCCGTTAGTGTTTACAACACTTGAATCTTGTGATGGTGTGATACAGACTGTTTCCCATGGATTATAGCTGTTCTTTATTTCCCACAGAGCCAGTATTCAGGCAGAGGGTTACATTTGCAGATCAGCTGGATTGATGTACATGGGAGTAAAGAAATATCAAAGTTGAAGTGGTGACTTGAAGGTTGTTAACGGCAGGCAGTATGCCGAATGGAAGATCCTGGATAAGACTATGATGTTCCAGAGTAGTTCAATGTGAAAGGTTTGGAAATTGTGAAGCATTCTGATTTCAGAGCTTTTGGCAAGCTAGACAACTCTATGCCTCTTTTTTTTCCTCCTATCTAAACTCCAGAAACACGCCTGCATGGCTCTCCGCAACCTGGTGGCACGTTCCCGCGAGTACTGCCCAACCATCCTGGCCCTGGAGGCCGAGCCCTTGATCCAGAAGGCCCGGGCATTCTGTGAGGATGAGGCCAAGGCAGCCCTACGAGACCTGGGCTGTGAGGTGGAGCTAAAGGAGCTCTGGAAAGGAGAGAAGAACCCACTGATGAGGTGAGAAGGGCTGGTGTCCTGGCATCAATATTGGTACAAGACCAACTGGTATCTCCATTCCAGACTTCCCGGACCTGTCAACATTTGCCAAACATCCAACTGAAGGCGCAAGACTTTTTTTTTTAAGAAAAGTATGAATTGCCAATATAAACATAGGATAGGACATAGAGACCACAATACTTAAAATGGAACGGCCAACTCTCCTTCCTTTGTGCTCATTCGTATAGCTCGTGATCATTCATATGTACAAACAGGTTACGCCCCCCAAAAAATATTAATTTCCTGAATCCCTATCACATGATAGCTTGTCTCAGCCTCTTTTTAATGCACCCTTGTGGTTTTTATCTGTGTCAGACACCGCCCTTAATTCCCACAAAAGTGTAAGACAATGTGGGAGGGATTGACCGGACATGCAGCGTGACTTTGGGTTCCAGTGCTGATTTCGGTTCACACTTGTCAGAGCAAATGAGCTTGAGAACGAAATTGTGTACAACGCCTATGCCGATGCATGCCGACACCGATATCTTAGAACAAAATATACCTGTACTTTTATTTGTGTATATAATTTGCTTGAGTGTTTAATGCTGCATTAGTACAATTCCATTGTGTGATGGATTGCATTGTTTGATGAGTGTATCATAAAGCATGCAGATTTGTGCATTCCACGTTTGGTGTCCTGTGTCGAAGTCTTTCCCCACCTGCGTGGCATAAAGGAGGGTTGGAAGACCCCCCCGCTCACAAGACGGCGTCCCGTTGTCGGTTAACAGAGATTAAAAAGAATGCAAAAGTTGATATCCTTTGTCGTCAATGTACACTGCTGCAGGGTGGTGGTTGCCTAATGGTTAGCATTTGTTACTCATCCTAATCAGAGGGTTCGTCGAACTTGGGCGGATCCGGGATTTTTGTGCCGGTACCGGGTTTGGAGAATTTTGGGGGTTTTTTTGGGGGGGGTTTACTACTCGGTGAAGCCATTTAATCATTTTGTTTTGACCACTACATGGCTTAGTTTTTAATAGTCTTCCAACCTTCATATGGAGGCTCCTATAAATTGAAACCCTCTTAGGGGACCTGACCCCCTCCCCTTGCACCACCTCATCGCTGATTTGCTCCCAGCAGCTGGTTGTTGACCTTGGGAAAGTGGGAAGTCGGTTGACCCTGCTGGCCTTTGTAGGTCAGGATACTAGGAGTTCCGAGAGCAGAGATGGTTGCCTCGCTTGTTTGCATGAAGCTGTGCGAACCTAAAATGGTTACATCTGAGATGGTTTTATTTAAGAATGTCCCAAATAACAGAGATAACATTGGGCAAAGTGGATTAGGAGTCTGTTGTACTATTTTCGGAGGATGGATTAGCGCCGGGGAGATGTAAATTAATTTTGGATTTGTTTGCCCTGCCCGACGTGTATTATAGCACTGTATGCGGTTTGCCCCTGAAGGCTTGTGAAAAAACCACAAGCGTACTCGGGTGGGACTCGAACCCAGGACTGAGTCCGTCGTAATGGCATGCCATATATTCGATATTGGTGTTTTGATTTTATGTAAATGACACGTTTGCCCGGTGTCCAATGAAAAAAATACGAAACACAAAACAACTAAATGATAACAGAAATAAAATCAATCATACATGAACATGTAGCTTTGTTTTTCTTAGGTAACCAAATAATTTTTCACAAGGGGTCAATACATTCAGTTATAACACTGTAAAGTACAAATACATAACATAAAATAATCACATAATAAAGAAATATAACATAAATATTATACTTTTCCAACTGCTACACTATCATTAAAGCTTTTTTTTCGATTTTGAATTCAAACAGACTGCAGTTCAGCAATATATACCGTACTAATTACAGTAATTGTCTCTTGTTAACACTGACAAATATTTGATTTGTTATAACATGTACAATAACATTCCAATCGACAGTAGTATAAATGTTGTGTAGGCCTACTGAAAAGGAAAAGGGCAGCTTTTATACTTTGTATTTGACCTTAATGTATTTACATGGTTCAAGTGACATTACAATAAAGCGATTTGTTGTGCGCAAATTTGTGACAGGATTACCAGTGGAGAAGTGGTGCGCATTTCCTTTTCGAAGACACTGATGCATCGATAATATGGAGCTTGGAAGAATGTGTTCATAAACGTGCATAATATCAGGTACAAGGTGGACACCGGAAATTCCAAACTTTTAGTGTGAGCGCAACTTTAGGCATGGCTAAACTCTCGATGACCAAACGAGCATAAAAGCCTGAAATGTTCAGTTGTGAAATGATGCATTCCTGAGCATTGTCCAAAGCACGGGGCTACTTAAAACCAGTTCTAAAACCCCGTAAGTCGTAAGTCAAATGTATTCACTGACCCCTCAACGAAGAATGCCACGGCGAGACGCCCCCGGTAAGCGAGGCTAAAAGGTAGGCCAGCCTTGCTGTTAGTTTTCATTGGCCCCTGCTAGTGGCGGGCTCTCCCAGGCCTGAGACGTACGGTGCGTCCGCCTCCTTGCTGCGGTTGGCTTCGACACGGTCTGGTTTCCATTCGTCGCCGTCTTCGTCCTCATCGCAAAGTGCAAAGTACGAGACCACGACCAGAGCAGCCACCACGACGGCCAGCAGGCTTCCCCCGAGGTAGGTACCCAGGATGACCCTGGACGTGTACGGGGCCACGCCAGATTTCACCTCGGATTTATCTGTAAGAATTCAGAGACCCTCCGCTGTTAATGCCAGGATAACAAGAACGGTTTGCCTGTAAATGAAACGAGTTGCCGCTGAAAAAGCAACTGCAACAGCGGCACATTCGGTTACATTTGAAGTTGACCTAATACGGCTTTGATGAGACTGCCATTCGTCCTTAAACCCAAGCATGTCAAGTTCTGGAGGTCTGAAATTCAAAGGCTATAAAAAGTATTGTTTTCAGTGAAGAGTAGTCCCCTAGGCCTATAGTGTCGTGCTTCTTTCTGACTAAGGATGGGTAAAAATGAACATAAATGTAATTGTAGTGTAGAAATCTTTTCATTTTTTCCCCTGAATTTTACTCCGAGGCTCTGTAAGGATCTTATAAAGGGGGCCTTCTGGAGTTTTCCTTCTAATCCAAAATCCGAGTCGAATGGACGCGTTCGTTTTTACAACGTAAAAATCCCAGATTTTGAAAGCATTCAACAAACACACTTGATCTTTGAATTTGTAATGACAATGGATAATTTTATTTCGTACCCCCCCCCCCCTTTAGGTCTCCTATTTTGAAAACACCCTTCTGACTTGTTACTAATTTCAAGGTGTACTGTCGTACGTCCAGTGTTCTGGCTGTGAGACAGGTAATCCAGTCTCTGGCCATGTGGTCTGCATGAGGAATATTCGTTTAAACTTTAGATGTTATCCAGGACAATTATGACAGTGTTGGATTCCCGACTCTCCTATAGGCCTAGGCCTTTCTTAATATTTAGGCAAATTTTATTCACGGTAACTGAGAACGAGGCTGCAGGGCACTCGCGTGTCGCGATGGCTGTAAATGGAAGAGATCTTTCCGTGGTTCCCGAGATAACCATCGGGTTTGTGGAGGATTACGCCAAAAAGGGCTCCAGAAGCAGTGGAGAGCGACAGCTTGATAAAGGCGTCAAGTATTTTTCAGAAGGCCTACATTTTTAATCTGAAGAGTAAGCAGATTATTAGGCCTTGCGATATTTTATCTGGGACTTTTTGTTGACGTTGCATGCATACACCGTTTATGTCTGAGCCTAAACGGCCGGTTGACGCCACGATCGAGCAGGTTGAAGACATTTTTGTCATTTAGTGGGTTACCTTTAATGACCGGGCTATTTCCTTTCCAAGTTCAGAATTCTATAGATGCTAATTTGTAAATTACAGACGTCATTTCATCATGCTGGGCGCGATTAATCATGGAGGAAGGAAAGATCGGATCAATCGAACTGTACCAAGTTGCAATAAAGTGTACGGTTTGGGACCAGTGATTACGATTTTTATATGAACATCTTATTAAAGAAGAAGTCGTTTCAGAAGTCACAATCTATCTTGAACAGTGGCCCTCGTCCGTTTGATCTTAATAATCCACTATTTCCGGAGGATCCTGTTCTTTGGAAGTCGATGAAAGCTAATTTCTGGCGATTTATACAACATGGCACTGAACAATGCTTCGCCATGCTCTCCGACAGCATAAATATTAAGAAAGGCCCATGTGGAAACAATGATTACTTGCCTCTGATGCACTCCCCGTCACCAGACTCCACATAACCATACTGACACTGGCAGGAAAACGCATTGTCGTTCTGGAGACAGACTTCGTATTTTCTGGTGCATGTGGTTTCGGTACAAGCTGTGACGATGAGACAGTGACGAGGTAATTAATTTTGGATTTTTGTCCTTGCCCAACGTGTATTATAAGACTGTATGCTCAGTATTTGTCCCCGAAGGCTTGTGAAAAAGACCACAAGTGTACTTGGGTGGGACTCGAACCTTACTAGTGCAGACGTCTTAACCACTCGACCACCGAACTTGCCGGTGTCGGCTGGCTGGCTCGTGTCAAATGTAGCAGCGGCTATCGCAAAGTAACAGGGACCAGATGCATATGCAGCTGGTTCTTCAAAAGACTGAGTGCAACTAGGCTACGGGACGTTTAAAGGAAACGTGGTGTGGAACATTAAGTTTTGGAAAGCAAGTGTTAGGCTGTCATGGGAAGCACCTCTCCGGCCGTCTGTGGTTTGGTCACGTTACAATTCGTTAGGTTGTCAAAATAATGTACTTTCCAGTGTTGGGGAATAAGTATTTGGAGACGAATCCTACAAGATAAAACCATTACTTCATAGTACCTTTATTTGAACTGTTTTTTAAACGGAAACATGAAACACTACTGGGAGATAGTGGTCCTCTACCACAATTTAGGAGGAGCAGTTTCCACCTTATTTAACATTTTAAAGATCATCAATCTATAATACATACTTAATACAACAATATATTCTCTTTTTCAAGCGATATAAACATTACTGTTTTTTATTTACTTATGTAAATTGTAAAATACAGGAAGTTGAAGTCACTAAGATGCAGTTATAAGTAAACTTGATTGAAGATGGGATTTCAGAGAAATTTCCATATTCGCTCTGCACGCTGCTGCCATAGGTATGCAGAGCCTGGAGCTTATTGGCAGCTTATACAATTGCGTCAGAATCACGTCAACGTAGCTTTTCAAATATTATCCAATCGTGTGATATAAGAGCTGAGGCAGCACACGTAAAATTACTAAGCAACACTACACACGGTGGCCACTGAACTGGCTATATTTATTGTTTAAAGCTGCCAGCTCGAGGCTCTACATGCCTACGGCGGCAGCGTGCAAAGAGCGAATGAGCTGATTTGACATCATAACTGGGGTGACACCACACGCACTTGCACGTTCTTGAGCTTGACGCGCGCGTGTATTTGGCAAATCACGACACCCTGTTGGTCAAAGAGGCATGTAACGCGCGCGTACCACCTGTCTACGAGCGTCGTGCCACTGCAGTAATATGGCTTCTAATTTTGGTTGTTGAATACAGCGTTTCACAACAGTGCGCCTTCAAGAGTCTGCAACGCGTTGGCCAATCACAACGCGCGAAATCTGTCGACCTAATGTGCGTTTAGAGGTGCACTATTCGCCTGTATTACAATCTGCAAATTACTTACAGCTGCAAAGTATTATTAGCGGCGGTAATTACGTAAGCTGCCGGACTTGAGTTCTGTTCGCGTAAATCACGGCTAGAATCAATGCCGACATTGCCTTACCTTCAATGCACTTGCCGTTGTATTCCATGGTTCCCGGCTTACAGACACATTGGTAACCCGGCGAAGCATCTTGGCAGATTCTATCAGAGTCATAGGCGCACAGTGTGGGGTCACGGCTACACTCGTCCACATCTTAAAACATAGGATTGAAAAAGGAGGAAATATAGAAAATATCGATTTCAAGCTTGGCAAAAATTTTCAAACTGGAGAAGGTTGGTAGCAAAACTGTGAAAAAAACCCCGGTATAGAGGAGAAGTTGTTATTCGTATATCTCGATATTAAGCTTCTGCGCTGCTCATACTTTCCATTAAAATCTTACGAAGATAATCACAGAAAAATTACTGGCAGTGACAAAACGCCATTTGACAAAATATGCCGTGTGATTAAGCTTCTCTAGAGAGGCGCGCTCATATCTTATTTATAAATAAATGAGGCTGGACTGGAGGTGTTGTAATTTTGGTGGTTTGGGTGTGAATGAGTTGGGCTGCCGTGGGTTGAGTTGGGCTGGGCTGGTTTGTGTCGGGTTGGCTCGGGATGGGTTGGGGTTTTTAATTGTCAGATGGTTGGGCTTGGAAGGTTGATGCGTGGAGTTGCGTTGTATTGACGGGGTTGAATTTGTGAGATCAGTGAATGTATCACTTTGATACTGCATGGAGCTGGGCT